TTAATTGGTCCTATTTTATCAAATCCTTAAAACATTTATAGAGGGCTTTTTTTTAATTTCGAAAGACCTGATTCTTTATTTACTTTAATAATGATACAATAATATATTAATTATTATACTTCATGTATGTATATATTTTACTTTATCAATTATATTATAATTTCGTTATATCGACAATTTATATCAAGTTAAGTTACAATAATAGTTAAAAAAAAATATAATACAATTATATAAAATCATTAATTCTTGCTATTTTTTTATTGATTAAGATTCAAGTTTCCTTTTAGCGCTAACATTATAATAGGCAACAAAATGGCCAAAGTCTATACTATGCATAGGATGTTCAATTACAGGGTTTCGGATATTGAAAAAATAAAGCGGAGATAATTGTATTTTACTATGTTTATGGCTAATCGTTGGCGATGGTAGAATCCCTCGTTGAGATCCTCGGTCCTAGCAGAAATCCGTTTTCCCAGCTCTTTAAAGAAGTCTAGGGGCGGAACGATGTTAGAATTATTCCGGAATCGCATTTATCGTGAAAAATTTTAGACGATAGCATATTCAAAGAAGAACAAAATGAAAAAATTTGATATTTATTTTGATTTTGTCAATATGCGAATTTTCTGAGTTAAATCCATCAGTTTACATGATTGAATTGTAATGTACTATACAAATATATTATACTATAGCCCCTCCTTTTATTAGATTTTTAAAATTCAAATAGTTATCTTTTAGGTTTTTTTAAAACTTAAATACCCCTATTATACCTTAATTTATAATTATTACATATATATAAATATTAAAAAAAATTTAAAGAAAAAAGTTATATAGAAAAGAAAGAAAAATAAAAAAAATTGTGCTAATCGAAATTTTAATGATATAATCGATTTTAAATTAAAGAAAGGTAAAAAATTGAGCTTACTAACACTTCAATATGCAAGGGGAAAATAGGTATTTTAGACATCTATATGCAGTAATCCTACCCAGCATGGCTTATGTTAAAATATATTATATTTTGAACAAAATATTTAGATTACTGATTATAGCTCAAATATTCGATAAATTTCCCTAAGTTTATTCTCTAATCCATTGACCATTAATCTTAAAATTTTTAGTTCCCTCCTTGGGGGATGGGGGGGGGGGGGAGTGAGTATTTTTTCCATCAAAAATAATAGGTCCAAAATATCATTATTCAAGCTACAACTATAGAAAAGTCAAACATTTGTCTTGAACTAGAAGAACACTTCTTTTAGAGCACTTATCTTTCCGTCAAGGTTATTGACTTTAGAAGCGCTCCATTTAATATACAACGCCTCCTAATGACGAATTGATCTTTCACAAAAAAATTTAAAAAACCAAAAAGAATAAATAAAAAATTACAAATTTCAAAAAAAAAAAAATTGGATAAATTCGTAATATTTGTTAATATGTTAGTATAACAAATTTTTGGGATTTCCCGAGCCTGCACCTTACCATTAATCCGATATTAGCCTTTATTCATTCATAGAATCTAAGCGAAACCTGAACCGTTAAAACTGTTATCACCTTAAACAGAACCTTTGAAAAGGTATGCTAAGATTTGATTTTGATTTTAGTATCCTAACTCTTTTAAATATTAAAAATAATTGAATTGTGATAAAGTTTAAAAAATGTTTCTCTGTATGTAATTCTAATAAGTTAGTTAGCGATAAGGTTTAACCTAGTTTTTAAAGGTTCAAACCGTACAATTTTTTACGAATCGAACCCTAAATCATACACCATTCTTTTTACTTGAAAACCTAAATAGATATTCGTTACCAATCGGATCCTTGGTTTTCTATTTATTATTATAATGAATATAATATTATCAAAAAATATTTCTCAGGGAAATTTTTATTTTACACAAATTTAAGAATGACAAAATTAGGACTGGACATAGTCTCGGATTTGAGCTTGAGACATGTTCGGTCTCATTTTTATCCTCCCTGGGGGTACCCCACTGTAATAAAAGATGATTGACCTTTTGGTACAATCTCAGCTATAATAATAATTTAATAGATGAACGATAGTAAATTCTAGGCTGAATGATATAATCTTAAATATTGGTCTAGAAAAAACCACACTGCCTTGCAAGACTAAATTTATATTTCCATAGGTAAGATAAGGTAATTTGCTTTTGATATGAACAAAATTTTACTTTGCGATTCCTTAAAAAAACATCCAGCAACAACGCTGGTCTCACGCCGGAGTTACTAAGCTAATATAAATGAATAGGAAAAATGCATATGAAATATAATATTATATTTTCTATAATTTTACAATGAATTAATTCGTAAGATTTTTATACAAAATAAATAATGATTTATCAAAATGTATTTAAAATTTCTCTAATGAATTAAATCAAACATTATTTTAGTTAATAGGTACAAAAAATATATTAGTATCGATAAGATCTCAAATCAAAATATTTGAAGAATGTTAGTTGTTCATTTTCTAAACTTCCGAGTCCCCAAACTCCATGTAATAAAATCTTTTTCTTTTTTTGGAAATATGGACAGAAGTCAAGGACGAGCAAAATTTTAATTTTATCCTTGGCTTTTAATTTAAAATTCATTTTTTGCTTTTGTTTCTAAACACTCTATTGATTTTTAAACATTGCGCAGGCCATGCTTATCCAAAATAATTACGTTTTCATATTAGATCCTAAATCACAAATTCGTAAATATTTAAATTTTATATATATATTAGAATTATTCTCAAATATGTAAATTATTCGGTTGTGATATTCATATTATAAAGATTTTGAATTATTGATGTAGGTCAGAGGCCACTTTTCCTCGGGAGGGGGGGGGGGGTAGTAATTAAATTTAGTTAAAAAAATTATTTTAGGAATCATTTAAGAATTTTCTTAAGTTTCATAGTGACTAGTCTTGTTAAACGGTTCCATTATCAAAAATATATAACGCAACCCTGAAGATTTTGCTCATAGTTGATACAAAGTTTAAACATCTATGAACGAAATCTCAAGGCTTGGGCAATATTTTTCTGGCCAAAATCTTGAGCTAGCCGTTTTTAAAAATCGGCTCAAATCGAGCAATTTAATAAAACTATGTGACTATAAAATATTGACAATTTCTAATACATACATTCAAATATAAATTAATTAAAAAATATATTTTTAAAAAAATATTGGAAATATAGATATAGGCACAATATTATAAGAATTATTGCATATATATAAATTCCAAAATATTCATGAAAAAAAAATGGTGTATAAAAATATAATTAAGTAGCATACTATAAATTTATAATGTAAAGTTCAATATTCTTGGGATTGAGCTATTTTTTTCCCAATGATTATATCAATGCTTGATGTTAACTCCCTATGTATATTAAGAAGAACTAACACCCATCTAGTCTATTTTCAGAAGTAGTACTTCTTAGTAATCTAAATGACTCAATATGAGCCTCATTTTAAAAATGAGTAACCCCCTTTATTATCCAGAAAAATATTATATCTGAAGATTTTGCTCATAGATGACACAGAGGTTTGAACATCTATTAGCGAAATCTCGAGGCCTTGGCTATATTTTTCTGGTTTTAAAAATCGGTTCAAATCGAGCCATTTAACAATGGTATACTTTCAAGTATGTTTTTATTCTTGTTAGAGAAGGAGAGATGATTTTATCGTAGGAAAAGGTTCTCTCATTGATAGAAAAATAAAAAATAATTTTTATACATTAGGAAATAGTCTGAAATGTATTTAAAATTATTCGAAGCATCTATAGCTTTTTTGGAACATTATCAACCATATTTAACCTTTTATACCATAGTTTGCCTTCAGCTAATAATGCATCATGGGATACTTTTATAACCTCACAATAAAAATCTGCCAAATATAATTTTTCTCTAGCAAGATTGGAAATAGATTCAGAAGGATTCATGGTATTCTTCGAGTATAATATTGGAAAGATGGGCTTGCCTGGCTGCGAGTCGAGATTGATAAATATTAAATTCATAGAGCTCTACTAGTTACAACTACTAGTTCCAATATAATGCTTTCAACTAATAGTCTCAATCATATCGATGTCATTTTTTTGAAATATTTTACTTTAGATTTACTATCAAAAATTTTCAAATGAATTGAGAAATTTTAAATGATAGGCAAATACAACGGCAAGGAAATTTTGAAATCGATATTAATTCATAGAATAATTAGTAGAATAATTAGTGGTGTATTTTTATCTAATGTGAATCTAATAAATAAATGTAAGGAATATATATGCAATAAAATATAGTAATCACTAATATTTAAAAAAAATATTTTAGCCAGCATCTGAATTTTTTGACTTTGGGCTTTGGGGTTGGGGAGAGAGATTTGACCCACTGTCTCCTACTGCATACGCGCCTGATTTTTAATAATGCAGCATAATGACAGATTATAATGACAATATTTAATTTATACAATATTATTTTTTAATATAGCGATTAGGTCAAACAGAGTTCTACGAAATTTTAAAAAAATATTAATATAAATTAACTTATAGAAATGGTTGCTGTTTATTATATAGTATATAAAAGTTTAGGAAAATTATTACTACACACAAATATATAGAGAGTATATAATTATTATAATTTCTACATCGAAAAAAGAAGGATAATTAAATTATTATTATATTAGCCTAAAATATTATTATTATTGTTATTTTTTTTGGCTTTGAGATGCATGAATTGATTTTTGTCATATTATTAATTTTTGAAATTTTTTTTTTTAAATTTGAAAATTATTAATGGAAATATATCTGTAAAAAAAAACTGTGAATTATCATTAAAACTACTAATAATAAAACAAAAGAATGAGAAAAATATCTTACCTTACACTTAATATTTTTAAAAATAAACTAGATCCAATTATAATCTTTTTTATAACTTTATTTTGCATTTATATATTTCATAAGAAAAAATAAAGGACATCATCCTATAGAGATCAAAAATTACCATTAATCAATTAGTCGATTTTTAAAAAAATACCAAATATGGTTTATTCTATTATAAATTCAAAATCAATTCCTAAATCAATGGTAAATAATTTGTGGGATAAAAAAGACAACAACTTTACCTACCAAAGATTATAAAAGAAAATTGGAATGGCGTTAGTCAAAAACTTCACAAACCATACATACCATGCACAAAAAACTCATTATAACGGTAGTAGTTCGGGAAAAACAATGGATTCATTTAATGGCATAAACATTACTTTGGCTAGCCTAATAGTTCTGATGAATATCGCAGTGGTATTCGGGAATGTTGGCGTTATTATAGCTATGCTTTTTAATAGAAAGCTCAGAACAACCCGGTATTACATGATCACTTCTATGGCAGTGGCGGATGTGTGTCTAGGTTCAAATTATACGATACTATTGTATTTTTTTTATTTATATTTTCGAAAGAAATATTTTTAAAAAAAATTACTCTATATGTTATGTCCATGGTGTCCTTTTTCAGACACATTTGTGTGTGACTATTTAAATAAAATAAACCTCTTGAAAAAAAGATGAATTTTTAAACTGATCGAATGTCACATTACACTTATAGTTTAAGAGAAAAGAATATAATCTATATATTCGATTTAAACAAAAAATTGAGAATATATAGTTAGTGGTATAACCGGAATTCTATATGCCGTCGGTCCAGAATTAGAGTGTTTCACTCAATATTTTTAAGATTTTTGAGTTATGAATGGATTTTATGTTATTAATTACCAATAAATAACAATTCGATTTAAAAATAGTAACTTTTCAATCTATTTTAATTATTTATTCCTACATATGCGGCACCTATGTACTATACCCCTTTTTTAATTTTATAAAAAAAAAATATATGAAAAATAATACACATAGACTTGAGCCCCGCCCCAATTCTATGACATCGATTTAAAAATTTACGGAGACAGTGGGGTTAAAAAATTTAATTGATTTTAAGGCATTTTTTTATTGCAATTATAAATAACATTAAATAATTGAAATTGAATTAACTTGCAGATATTTTTCGAAATATATTTGGCCTTTTCTTTATAAATTTATAAAAATCTTGGCATAAAAACGATTTAAAATTGTATTGCATGCATATATTTGATGTTGATTCTACGGATATTTCTCTCATTTATCTATTGACTATTGATTATGACTTGGTATAGGAAGCTAGCTATAATTAGCAGTTCACTATGTTGTTCAGGGAATAGAATATCAGAGAAATATTTGACCCATTTTTTGTGAAGAGGATGTTTCATATGTTCAACACAATTCATTTTATTTGTAATAAACTATTAGGTTGAAAAATTAACTGAACAACTTGGATTCAAAGGAACATTTTCATTTTTCAATAAATATGTTGCAGATAGCAAGAGTCAATTTTTTTTACACGACCCAACCTGTAAAAGGAGAAGCATTTTCCCGACATGACTCAATCGAGAAATTATTTTTTTTAGTTTTCAACTCTACTCAAACCAATCTGAAAATAAAATTAATTCAATATTTCCGATCCGAAAATCAAAATATTAAAAAAAATTAGTCTAAAACTTATTTAAATATGTTATAAGAAATATCTAACAAATGTATAAAATATTCCTATAATCAAAACCATTATTTTATTGATAACGTACTGATTAAATTCAAAATTATAACAAAAATATTTATCAACCCGATCCACCTGGGAAAAAATCCCAACCCTACCCTACCCGAAATATAAATAAATAATGATCTCACAATTCAGGTCGGTTGGTTACGATTTTGGGTTGAGTCGGTTCATGCAGATCTCTGGTTTGGTTCTAAATATTTTAAAATAAGTGGTTCTGTTTTCCCTAACATTTTAAAAGTGAGTCCTGGTTCCAATTCCTAAATTCAAGTGGTTTCGAGGGTTCTAGGTTATAGCCACAATTCCAAGCTGTTAAAGCAAATCAAAAATAAATATATAAACAATAAATAAGCCCTCTCTCAATATAGTTAAAAACAGTTCCGTACCCGGTTTCTGGGAATTTCAAAATGGGATCGGGTTCTTATGATTTTAAAAATAGATTTGGGCCGGATCAGAGGGTTACCGATTTTGGTTACGGTTTCAAATTCTGATTATAAATTACCTCCTTTCAATTTTTTTACTTAAATTGATCTATAAGTTTTTCCTGTATTTGAATCTAAATTTTTTTTCCCAGTTTTAAAAATTATGCACGCAGGAATTCTATTCTGGGCCAAAAATTTAATTTTAAAAAATAATTAATTAAGAAAAAAAAATAGGATGAGAAAACGTTTGTTAGAAGCTTTTTAGGTTATATTAAAAAAAGTCATAAGACTATTAAAATTAAATATTTATCTAGAGCTGGCATGAAGTTCATAGTGCCTTGATTATGTTTTTTTAAATAATAAAATTTATAAAATATATAATCATTAAAATATTTTGGTTATATTATAAAATATTTTGCGGATAATTTTAAGACATAATTTAATTTCAAAGTAAGAAGCGAATTTTTTTTTCTATCACTATTTTTTGTGGTAAATGGACTGAAAAGTCAATCTAGAGACCCCTAAAAAATCTTTCCAAGGTAAAGGCTTCGGGAAAAACTTTCAAGTAATAAAATCCTCGATACACATATATTTTTTACATCATTTAGTATTAGACTATTAGACGCAATTATCCTTTGGTAAAAGGGAAATTAATGACTAGTTATCTGATTGATTGAACTCAAACAAACCTAGGGTAAATTAAGAATGTTGGTTAAAGTTAGTAGTAAATAAGAGATTACTATAAGGGATTACTATGGTTAGATTATTATTCAATAAATTAATTTTCTTACCTAACTTATAATGGTTTGATGATAGGGTTTATATGGATATTCATTAATAAAAAAAAATCTAAAGGAGGTGTTTTCCAGGGCTTTGTTTTCCTGGGTTAAATTTCCGCAGGTTTTTCATTCTAAAATTAAATAGAATAACAAGGAATTACAGGCCCATTAAATGTCCAAATTTTAAAACCTGGGCAGGACCACGAAACAATCAAAAATTTTAAAAATATCTGAGTAGCGGAATTAAAATAATGATGATAATAACCTAATTGGGCTAGGCCTGAGTAGGTCTCGGATTTATTTTATTTAAAATTTAAAAAATATATCTAATAATGGACAATTTCTTTTTCTAATTCACAAACTATGTAAAGAAAATACGATCTGTGTTTGTTCAGAAGGTCAAAAATTGGAACTTTTTAATCTATCTCGCGAGACTTATAAACATACGTTTATTGTAGGGATTTTTATCATTTTATTTATCAAAACCAAATTTCATTTTATTTATCAAATCCAAATTTCATTTTATTCCATACCAATTTATTAGATTGTATTTTTAAAATGGGGGTCATATCCATTTCGTAAACTTCCCAACTTTTTACTCTTATTTACGCCAAAACACGCTATCTATTAATTTACGCTTTCTCTCGATTTATTATAAATAAACAGCTCTTTTTCTCTTGATTTTTTTTATAAATTTTTTTTGAAATATAAAATATTTAAAATTAGATAAATCAGACATGTAAACTGTCATTTTTCATTTTAATCCAAATCATACATTTAAAAAGGTATCTTGTTTTTTTGTTTATTTTATATTTTTAGAAACTAAATAACAAGGAAAAAGAACTCTAAAAAAAATAAAAATAATGTGTATAATTAATTCAGGAAGATCTATAGACAAAGTTTTAAATGTTACGCTATATTCAGCAAATCCGCAAAAAAGTATTCGTTTTATGGAAAATTATAGATTATCAAGATATTAAGTCAGAAATCTAAAGTGTTCCAACAAGATGGTTATCATTAATCAATGCTCATGAAAGAATTTACAAAAATGCTTAACTTGTTTAATCCTATTTTATATCCTAAGAAATCCCAATTCAATATAAATATTATTTTTTGGGTTTGCAATCCGAAAATTCAATTGCAATTGGAATGATGATGATAATTTCTAAAAAAAAATACAAATAATAAATGGGAAAATCTAAGCATTATGACACTTGAGGAAGTTGAACATATGATTAATATAAAAGGTATCGAATTAGACTAATCATTTAAATATTTCCTGTAATTTAAATTCATTCATCGAAAAAAAGAATTACTATATCAAATTTAGTTCATGAATATAAATAATATTGTCCCAAATTTTTAAAAAATAGGTAATAAATATTACTTGCCCATTATCACATTCTAATGCTGATTCAAAGCATAGATTTACCCTAATAAAAATTTCTGAAGAAAAAATCGTAATCGATTGTCATAATCAGCTTTAGATGCGGAATTAATGATTAAACAGAATTTTAAATATATTTGCAAAGAATATAACAAAAAATAAAATTCTAATTAATAGCATAAATCTTCTTAAAAAATATGAATGAAAATAAAAATATCTATAACTGATTTTTACAATTTAATGTGTATAATAATTCCTAAAAAAAATTTTTTTGAATTATGGTTAAATTCTCCCTTTTTTTATTTGAATGAATTTGGTTATTCATATATATAATAATAAATTTTCCCTATATAAAATAATTTTTTATTGTAAAAATTTAGAAATAAAATGAGAGGTTGAATGCTCAGAAATCTTCTTGCGAAAATAGGGTTTACCACTTACAGGAAGATCACTTTTAGAATTATGAGCCAAAATTATAATGCTATTTTATTGCATAAAAAAATATTTATGAAATAATTCGGGTTTCTTTTTTTAGGAGAATAACTCTATTTCTCAAATAAAAAGGAGTTAGAACCCTATATTAATTAATTCAAATATAGATCTCTTCCAACTAAAAAAAAAAATTTATATTCGAAATATCACAAAGATAAAATAAAATTACTTTAAAAAAACAAAATTTAATTTTTTAAAAAATGTTGTACGTATAATTTTCCATTAATATCCACTATTCTATAACTAAATAATTTAAATTTTATAAATATAATTAAAACTATTCTTATAATTTATAATTTAAAAAAAACTGGTTAATACATTTTTGATGATGAAAAGGATCACATGTAAGATATAACAGGGAGGTCGATAATTACTTTTTTGATAATAAATGAACAAATTTTATTATGGATCTTTTATATTATACAAATAACGATAGCCAGCAAAGCTTTATAACATATTAGTTCACTAACACTGGGTTTACATGTAGCAATTGGAGCTGAAAATCTGAAAATCACTTATAATTAGATAGTTATATATATATATTTGATTTTTCCCATTGGATGTTATTCTTAATTACAACTTTACTCTCATCCAATAACAAAATTTTGTTTGTGAATATTCTGATCTAATCATATTCATATATCTGGTGGACAGCTTCGAAACCTAAATGTCCAATAGATGGCTTTTTTGAAAATTATATATATTATTTAGTCAAAATTCTGCTAAAATTATTTGTATTATAAATATAAGCAAGGATTAAATAGTATTATTTTATTTATTTTAGAATACGACTTAAATAATTTATAATATTGAGTAAATAATGACGAATTGACATTCTTTCATTTTTTTTAGTTACAATAGTGGAGCCCCGAAGATCGAGGTTGAAGGTATAACAATGTTATCGAGAATAACCCTTTTAACCTTAAAAAAACAAAACTTTACATTTGGTGTTCTTTATATATAATTTTTTACATAGTTCATATATAATGAGCCTAATTTAATATTTTGCCCAAAACCCATTATTTACCCATCAAATATAAGAATCACCTTTTGCCTTATGGTATATTTTCTTAGCAAAATACATTTATCTTAATCATCTAAAAAAATACAGTGCCCCTTGAGAATCTTTGTTAGTCGTAGTTATTTAAACGTTACTAGAAATCATAACTATTTATATAGTAAATATCAACAGCGATGGGTAAAACAGTAAATGTTTCTTTAGATAAAAGCTGCGAAAAAAAGATTTCTGAAATGTAAAGTCTATTCCATAAGAAAAAAAATTCTGAAAAATAAAGTCCATTCCATAAATACAAGTTATTGATCGAAAATATTGGAATTGGTGTAACAATATTTTCTTTATCTAAGTTTGATAACGATTTTTCTTGATTTGTATGGTAGATAAATGACATAAAACAAATTTTTTAATTTTTTTTATACATATTCCTTGGGAGAGGAGGTAATAGATATTAATTTTAAGAATAAGGGAGACTACGGTTAGGTAAACCCCGGGGCTTGGCAAACTTCTTAATCTTATTTTAAAATTTAATTGACTAGTAGAAGGTTTAAATTTTATCCTAATATGACTTTTATTAGTATGCATCTATAAGCAAAAAATCTTTTGAAATAATTAATTATTATTATATAAGAAAAATTTTGATGCAAAATTCAAAAGATTTTTACGTGACAGAATTTTAATTTTTAAAGTTATGTAATCATTTAAATATAAATTAAATTTCATTTTAAAGTTTTCAACCTCTTTTATATTTTGAGAAAGCTTTATAATATTTATTTTGTCTAGATATTATTTAAATAATGATATCGATTCCGACCTAGTGGGACGTTAATTATGATAGTTAATATAAAAAAATATTTCAAAATCTTGGAAATAAAATTTTATCGTGTATGATTGGTATTTAGGATTTAAGCTAAGAAATCATAATTCTTAAGATCCTTATTTTTATTAGTCCATGTTTATTAAATTAACCAAAATTAAGTTTCAATTTTTACATATAAATAGCTTCAATTTAAACTATTATGATATACGTATCATTATAATGAAAATGCATTTCAATTTATTATATCCTAAAAAACTAAAAGTTTAAGAAGCCCCTAGCAGTGGTTTGCCTAATCCTCTACTTGGGCTTGTAGGCAAAATTTCAACTTTTACAAAAAATAAAATTTCAAAAATATAATTATATTCTTAAATGCACCTTTATAGAGTATAGTTATAGAGGTATCGTCTTTATAATATTTTTAAAAAAAAACTAGCCCCAGTTTCCCCTACTTGCCACAAAATACTGCCATTAGGTCCAAATTTCATCAAAATTAAAATACCATACGAATTTTTTCCCAGGTTCTAGTATCGGAACAGCATCATTTTTTGATATGGGAAGTTTTATATTTGAATTTATTTATTGCCCCTTGCTGACTGATTTATACATATAGATTAGCTAAAATAACATATATAATTTATAATATTTTGATAGCGGTCATTTTAAAATGTATATCTATGAAACTTGCTATAAAATATTTCAATTATACAAACAATTCAAATATGGATATAAAAGTAATATTTAATTTTTTTAAATGTTCTATTAGGCTCAATTATTAGTATCTTAACATTATAATGATCTTATATATTTAGAACAAATAAATGTTTTTAAAATAAAATAAAAATACACACTAGGCATATTCGTTATCCCATTTGCCGGTACAAACCTGATCCTCAAAAAATGGCCTTTAGGACTAGAATTTTGCCGGATATACCAAACGAGTGATATACTCTTTTCAACTGTAAGTATATTGCACTTATGCGCCATAGCTTGGGATCAATTTATAGCCGTCCGTTTCCCGTTCCATTATAAAACGGTGCTAAATAATACCACAATCTGGAGCGTTATAGCATTTATATGGGTGGTGGCGGGGCTCATAGCTATAGTGCCAGTCAATTTTAAGACACAATGGTACAGAGAGCCCACCATGCTGGAAAACTACCTCAACCCTCAGTACTGCTTCATACAGATTAGGAAGGAATTCTCCTTTGTCGTGCTACCTTTAACGTTTTATCTGCCTATGATCAGCATGGTGGCTATATACCTTTATATCATAGTGACGGTCAGAAAACGGTTCAGAAAAATATACGGGGTGGCACCTAAAGGTTACTAGTTTGCCTAATATTAAATTACAATCTTTAATTCTAAAATTACTATTAAAAATTCTAAATGTAATTTATAATTAAATTAATTTTTAAGATTTACTCTTAATTTTATAAAATACTGCTATTCATTCAATAAAATATATTCATATAGTTACATCGGAGATACGCCGATTAACATCATGGATGGGTATCCTTGATCGCGATGAAAACAATCTATTTAAATTACTTTAAATGGTTTGTTCAGAGGAAAATCGCGAAATCAATTTGATTTATATGTTACTAAATTGAGGATAAAAAATAAGTTACCATAAAGAATAAATAGGGCTAAAAAATGGGAAGGGGAGGAGGGGGAAATGGATTAAAGATGTGAACAGCAAGGATTAGTAAAATACAATTAGGCTTGGAGTTGCTTATGCTTAATTAAATGTAAATATAAACCTCATTTCAAATAAAATAGTAGATGTCATTTCAGTATATCCTGCTGTAACAAATTATGACAACTACTTATAATGCCCTATTTTAAAATTTTATAATATTTTCCATGCTTTTTACTGTATTGTCTTTATGTATTTTACTAAATTATTTATCCATATCACCCTAATTTTTATATTGTATTTTATTTGGATATATTAAATTTATTATCATATACAGTCGCGTAGACAGAATTTTCCAATGGAGGAGGGGGGGTTAAAAAATTTAGGGCTTCGCTCCCAAACACCGTCTTGCCTGCCTTTGGCCGGGTCCCTTCTATAAATTTTTTTACATATTATTGATTTTTCGGTGGTATTTGTATGATTTCCTTTAAAGTTGGCTGAACAATCCCTTATTCTAAAATTCTATTCGTGTCTGACTCTAATCAGTATGGTAGCCACTATATAGGAAAAAATTATTAGTAAGAATTTGGCCAACCTTAAGATTAAAAAGTGACTGAGAGCATTTATTCAGTAAATTTTATCAATGTTTAGATCGTAATTATCAGAGTTGTTAAAAGATACTTTTTAAATGGATCTAGATACAGATACAGAATGGATCTAGATACAGATACATAATCAAAAAAGTTATCTAGATCCAGATACAGATACATCGTCTAAAAAGTTATCTTAATACAGATACAATGTTAAAATGTATCTAGATACAGATACAATTTTTTAATACTCTTATATAATTGCATAAACAGGATTCTATTGTGAAATATGAAATGAGATAAAAACTTTAGATATCATATTTATCAAAATTAAAATAATGATTTTTAGATTTTAATATAATATATAAAAATATATGATTAAATGATTATAAATAATTATTAGATTTCAGTAATAAAATATTTTCAGAATTTTGGTCCTTAAGGCATCCTCGTTAATCCGTAAAGACATTTTTAGCTATACTAAAAAGCCTTTCTACCGGGGCACTTGAAGGGATTGTGGTGTTATATTTTATGAATAACAATTTTATATCAGGATATTATTTAAAAATATAAAATCTGGGCATTCATTTTCGAAAAAATTATTTAAAATTTGTTGAGTATCAAAATTTAAATCATTATTAACAATCATATCTGCTGCTGCGGGTTACTGAAAAAAATAGGATATTAAATTAATTGTTTTATTTTCGCAGGGTATTTGTTATCAGTTGAAGATCTTGATAATTCATCAACTAATCTTTGTATTATATGTTTTTTTTTTATTTAACAGTGTTTGATTTTTTCTCTTAAAATTGAAAATTACAATTTTAAACATTTTATTTAGTATCTATACTATAACCTTAAATGTTTTACAATGTTGCAAGTTGAGGTAATGCTAACTGGAATTTTCGTATTTTTTTATAGATATGGCAAACATTTTACTACAGAGATTTGTTTTTTTTATTTTGAGATATTTTTTTAAAATATGCTTTATATATTGGCCCAGAAAACAATATCTGAACTTGTCGATGCTTCATTGATTATTACTAATCTAAAATAAATTTTTAAAATTAGTATAATAAAATAAAATTAACTAATTCCATTGAAAATTAAAATGGCATATTTCTTGAGTTGCATTGTAATATCAAAATTTGTCTGGTTTATTGATAAACTCTGAATATTTAATGAATATATATCTATTTTTTTATATATTTTATATATATATAATTTTTTATTCGAGTAGTCTAAATATTTTTTAATATATATATTTAAATTATATGCTCATATGAAATAAAATAAATTTTGCATTCAAGTATTTTTGTTTATAATATAAAAAACGTTAAATAAAAGTATAACAAAATGTATCTTAAAAAGTATCTAAAAACAGATACAGATACGTCTAAAATAATATCTAGATACAGATACAAATATTTTAATCAAAAATATATCTAGATACAGATACAGATACCACATTTTTATATCTAGATACTTTAACAACTCTGGTAATTTATCAATTTAATACGTTTTGTAGTTGGTTTTAAAAAAAGGAAATTGCCAAAAAAGATGTCATGCTAAAATGGAAAATATAGAAAACTATATATCTTGAGTGCGAATATATAATGTCTGACTAGTGCTTTCAATTCCCTACTCATATATGAGAATCACAAAAAGAAACTGAGTTATATAAACAAAATGAAAACTATGAAGGCACGCTCTAAACGTGAAGTGAGCCAAGCTTTTAGAAACACTTATTACTTATACTAAGCTATTAAGTAGGGCTCTATTTATTTATTTTATTGTTTTATTCTGTTTAATAGTTGGTTTAAAGAGGAAAATAATTATTGGTAAAAAAATTGTCAAAATTACATCATGCCAGAACGGATAATATAGAAGTTGTAAGAATCTTGTTTGCATTATATTTAGTGCCTTATTTATTCTTTAATAAATTTCGCCAGCCATTAAAAAAGTAATCGAATTTTTAACTAAAAAATGGCTATGATATCATGTCTTAAACGTAAGTTATTCAAGTATCTGGATGCTTATTTCTAAAATTTATGTCAATAATTAGTGCGTATTTCATACATCTGCACTGCTACAACCCTTTGGTAGGTATTTTAAAGCGAAAACATTTTAGCAAAATAAAAATAATCATTTACTAGAAGGAAAATTATAGAAGCAATATGTAATGCATGATTAGCCTTAACTAGTTCATCGATCAGTTTTTTTAGTCAATAAATAAAACCAATTATAAGCAGGGTTGCCAGATCTCCCGCTTTTGGCGTAATTTCCCTATTTTTTACTTTCGTTTACGTCATCCGTTTATTGATTTAAGCTTTCTCCCGATTTTTTTATAAATTTTTTAAAATATAAAATAATTAATAGCTTAATCAGAAACTTACGCTATCATTTTTTCTTTTAATTCCATCATACATTAAAAAAGGTATCTTATTTTTGTTTATTTTTTTATCCATATTTTGAGAAAGGAAAAAACAAATATACATGTTTAACATCCAAAAATTTTTTTAAATCGCAATAGCAAAATAACTGGAATTCCATTTATTCATGGGTCAGAGAAGATAAATAATGTAGCCTAAATACAATTTGTATAATATGTAATGCAAAATTTAATATCAGCTATGGAGGAGTCCATGACGTGATAAAAACATTCAACATAGCAAATATATCCAATTTAAAAAATAAAGAATCATCAAATAATATCCAACCGTACTTCAAATGTGTTGATAATACTGCAATAGCGAAATGACATTCATCTAGTCATCTATCACACGATAAAACATAATAGCCAAAAGCATGATATTAAATACCCTAGGTCCTGAAACTAAAAAACATATCTTAGGATTTGAAGGTAAATCATCTATTTTTCTCTATTAACTGATGCTTCAAATAATCAAAATACTAAAACATCTAATAATGTAGCGCTATTTTAAAAAAGAAAGAGGTGTTTCAAGTAAACTTCTAAAAATAATCATCAGTCGAGAAATCGAAGGATATAGCATAGCGTCTATGCTTGTGCAAAGTCTTAAAAATTGTAGCCAATCTTATAAAATATGATGGTGATCATAAAATCATCATTTCAAAATGAAGCTAATAAACTCATTAAAACAATCATTTCGTATTTAGAAAAAGAATATGAATTTACAAATAATAAATGGAAAATCTAAGGAAAAATACGAAAAAAAATATATACTGATTTTTACTATTAATTTTATATTAAAAAAATAATATACAACCGGGAAGAAAATTAATTCTTGTTGTAAAAATTTTTTTTTATATATATTGTTAAATTCTCTCGCTTTTTGTTTGAACTGGCAAACCTGGTTATAAGCGAAATAAAAATTAGTGCAAGTCTTAGGTTGAATCTAAAAAATAAAATATTAAATTACGATTCCTAAATCAATTTGGCTGAAGACATTAAGTTTCTCTTTCCCCGATTCAAGATATTTTTGAATCTTCTATGATCTTCACAGATGTTATTTTTCTTTTCTGTTTGTTTAATAAATATGGAAGTAATTTAAATCTCATTATATTTTAAATCGAGTATTTTAAAATTTATTATAAATCTGATATTAAGACACAGTTCCAGACATGAAGTTTGCCAAACTTTTGAAAGCACTAATTCTAAAGCTTAGGATAATATGAAATGCTTAAGAATGCATTCCGCCTGGTAAACAGTATAAATAAAAAAACTATTAACAAAATACGAAAATTACTAAAATGGATATCAAGATTCAAGATAGAAGATTCTAGAAGCACAAAAGCAAATAAATAAATGAAATATCTAAAATAAGTTTTACTATTAATTATCATTCAAAAAATCTCATCTTTTAAAATATGAAACTTGACTTGGTTGTAGCTTTGATATCTTTATATTTAATTGCAGCATAAAAAGGTATTCAAATAGACTTATAGCATATCTGTGCTTAGCATTTGTTGAAATAGGAATAAATTAATGTTTCTTATAATGAAATTGACAAGTTATATTTTTTTTTAAAGTATGACAAACTAGACAAGTTTTTTGCAATATAATTTAAAATTTATTTAAAAAATATATAAATAATCAAATATTGTAGATCATAATTATCATTTATAAATTAAAGACATAAAAATAGTTATTAGACATATATTTATTGAGATTATATTTAGAAATAATTTCATTCAATTGATAATCATAAAAACTTCCAGGAAATAAGTGCATTATCTTTGATTGATTACGTAAATTGCTAATGACCTATAAAAGGTTAGTTTGAAAGTTTTTTTACATTCTATAATATCTTTGTAGGGTTCTAATCCCTAATACTTTCGTTAATTTAAAAAATAATTTTATCAGATAAGGAAACTTTTAAGTGAAGATAAATTTCATGAGAATTATTTTTAATATTTGAATTTCACTCGTAATTTTAATCTCATTATATTTAAAAAAATATATAATTTATCTCGAAAAATTAATAAGGCGAAGGCATTACAAGTAATTTGTGCAGCATCACCTTTTTCCCTTCAACCTTCTCTCGACATAATAACATTACTATCAATCAACGTAAAAGAAAAACAGATTTGGGCACTAATATCTCCTATACGGAGCAACAATATCATAATACTAAACCTAAGAACAAAGTCCAAAAGCGTCAACCTAATAAGGAACAAAACAAAACAGAGTTGGAAAGCGTGGAATCCCAGGGAGAGGTTATGAATGAAAATGAAAGAGAAAATATAATGAAGTACAGAAAAGTTTTATTAATGTTGGGGCTAAACTTTCTCCTCAAAAAAATGCATGTTATTAAACCCAGTAACGTGAATAGCAGTGGAAGATGCGAAGGAGAAGAGATAAGTGGTGGAAATGGGTTGGAAACAAGTATAAAACATATCGATGGAGGTAAAACACACATCAAAGTGAATAAAATAGGCCCTGAACTAGCCGTAAAATTTATTGGTGGGAATTCGAAAGTAGAAGTTATGAGTAAAATATAATTAATTTAATTTGAACACATCTGTTTGGTTATTATGTTAGATCTATAAATTAGATACATTAAAGTTTTTAGTTTAATAATCTCTAAGTTTTTTTTTATACAGATTGATATAGTTTCGAAGTTTTATTTTGGTAATACAAATAAAACTTAAATTTAATTTCCAAATTTCTTTATTTAGTTTTATTAAATAGTTAAAAAAAATAAATCACCCATATTTTTTTAAAAAAAGGTAATCCTTCGCTCATACCAACAATCCATACTAAGGGTAACAAATTTAACAGGAAAATAAAATTCCAAACTCAATCTATAATTTCTGTTAATTCTACCCAAGTTTCCTATGAAGGGCAAGCAATGACCACCATAAATATTATCAATGGTAAGTATAATTGGAAAAGAGAAGTTTTACATTATATAGATCGTTTTATAGTCAAAATATTTTATTCATCAAAATAAAAATAAATAAAGATAATAATCAGGCTGCTAATAATAAGCTTAACATTCTCCGGCCAAATAATATTGCTAAAAATGCTGTCAATACTTTCGACACGAGTCACCACAATAATGCGCAAAATTTGAATTCGTTCCTTGCCGAAGCCCGTCTCAAAAAGCAAGTTCGAGCCCTAAAAACAGTTGGTATGATAACTTTGACCTTCGTGATATGCTGGACACCGTTTTGTTTTCTCTTTGTGTGGCAATCCGCATGCTGGTGCTTGTCGGATCACGCCCTCAATTCCATAATGTGGTTGGGATACATGAACTCGTGCTTCAATCCTTATATCTATGCCGTGTGGAACAACGATTTCAGGAAAGCATACAGCACAATTCTAAAATCTGTTTACAAGTGTTGTAAAAGAGCCCATTAATGCATCTTTTTTAAATTAATATAAAATCGTAAATGGTAGGGCTCTTCGATAATACCGGTTGATTAAAAATACTTTATGCATAGGTAAAGGGTTTTGATTATTATCAGAGATCTGCAGAGGTCAAAATTTTAGGTCCAGCTCGAATTAAAAAAAAATTTTTTAAGCCAAGACAGGCCCCATTTAAAAAAAAATGTTTTAAGCCTGCCTTAAATGGAGATATCTTTAGTAAAAAAAATTTGGCCCAGCCTAAAATTTTTAAATAATTTTGACTATATTTTGAAAATTGTTTCAAAGGAAAATAGAAAATATGAACAGTCAATAAATATTAAACGCTATTTTCAAAAAATTTTCATACATTTTCCGACTTACTTATTTGTATAATTTTCTTTAAAAATTATACCGGCCCTGATTTTTATAGTCATATTATTTTGACCGGGCCATGTTTGAGGGTCAAGCTTACAGGTCTCTGATGATTGTATATATCATTAAAGTTGTATGGATTAGATGTCTGCAATTGGTGAGTTCTTAACCACCTAGCCCATTTAACACAGGTGGGGGCAGGTTAGAAATTTTAATGAACTGGCAGGTTGGCTAAAAAATATTTAATGGGCGAGCGGGTAAAAGGATTTTTTTGTTTTATAAGTTATACATATTTTTAAAATAAATATGAATCATTTATTATCAAAATTTAAAGTGAAAACATTTTATCAGTATTTTAACTTTTTTGGGAAAATAATAATTAATTCTTGTTCATCGCACATAATTACATTTTATCATGCTTCATGTTCATCTTAGCTTTGTATTTTTTTATATTTTTCTTTAAAATAATTTTTAAAAAATTATATCTCCTCGCTCGCCAGGCACATGCATGATCAAAAACAAGTATACACCCTTTATTTTTATTTCAATTCATTAAAAATAAATAAAGAAATTGTCAAAGATTTTGTATTAATTAAAAACCTTATCATAATTGGAAAAAATAAGCGAGCTGATGTTTTTATAGGCGGGTAGGTTGGTTGAAAAATTTTTAAGCAACAGGTAGGTGAGGGATATTTATTTTTAAAAAATCATGAGCAGGCCAGGTGGGTAAGTTAAAAAATATTTTTGTAATTGGTGGTCGGACTTTTGGGTTAAAAACCCGCCCATTGTAGACCTCCAGTAATAAGAATGATATGTATTTATAATATATGGGAAATAGCTGGAAGCTGACTGAAGAGGATATAAAAAAATAAATAACTCTTCATTAGGATAAGAAAGATAGAATTTAAATTTCTGCTATAAAAATATTTTTCATTCATAAAAATGAATTTGATTATATATGACTTAAGCTCTTCGTGTTTCCATATTTTTTAGCTTTTTATGTTATATTTTAAATTAACCTCTATACATTTGAAAAATATTTATGATTTCCATATTGTATTAGCTTTAACGCCCTACTCCCCAAATCAACTAATTATATTATTCATATGCTCACTTTATGTTTAATTAAAGCTCAATAGACAAATTTTATATGCTTATATAAATTATATACCTCATCATACTTTATTATTCAAATTATACATTTGTGATAAAATAATTTGTCTGTCAAAATTTGTGCTTTTATTATTTTACTTTTTATTAGGATAGACTTCTATTTATTATAATCCATTTAATTATTTTGGCAAATAAGGTTTATATTAATAAAATATTAAAATATTTGTCAAGAAAATGATAGATGGCATAATGACTTTAATTGAATTTTTTTTCAAATAAAGAGGAACGATATTACCAACTAATGTTTTTTTAAGGACCAAAGTTTAAGGAGTAGCAGGGTTGTTAAGTGATCCCTTTTAAAAGAATCGCTATCCCGATCTGATTTTTTCCATTAATCTAGATTCCCTATCTCTTAAAAACACAACTAATGATAATTTTATGTAAACCTGGCTCAATGCCTGTTGAAAACTAAACCCTTATAAAATAAATAATTTAAATTTTTATAACTGTAAACAACTAATTTAAAATAAAATTTGTAATCTAAATCGAAAAAAAATAAGAATAAATTTTAAATTCAAAAATGAAATAAAAAAATGAATAAAAAAATGAAATAAAAAAATTTATTCAAATATTTTTGAAATTTAACTGTATTATTGGAAATTTATGAAAATCATTAAAAACAGTTCACGCTTAACGTGCATAATTATTAACACATTTATCCGTGAGGGGGTGGGGTACATTTTGAAGGGTTTTCCCTCCTGACTCTTATTTTTTCGGGTTTCATATGGGTCCCGCCTTCAATAAATTATAATTATGTATTGTTGACGTTTGTTGAAAGATTGAGAGCATCAATTTTAAAATCTATGCCAATGTTTCATACTTAGTTCCTATATATACTTTAACCAGTGTAGAAACCAAGGAAAAAATTATTAGCAAAAAATTTTTGGCCACCTTTACTATTTAAGACTGAAAGCTTTTGTTTTCAAAATTTTATAAATGTTTAGTGTTATGTTAAATTGACTTGACAGCACAACAGAATGAAAAATATAGAAGAAATATGCGTTAATATATATTGCCTGGATAGTACATTCCTCAATCAATTTTTGCGAAACACAAAAATGAAATCGAGTCATAAACAAAATGGAAACTATGAGGTCACTTTTTATGTGTGAAGTGAACCAATCTTTGGGAAACATTAATTTAGAAACTTACACCAAACACTTAAGTAGTTCTTAATTAGTAAATTTTATTGCTTTTTGTTTGATAGATGGTTCAAAGGGAGGAAAAAATATTGGTAAATAAGAAAAAATCAGCATCATAATTGAGAATATAGTTATAAATATATGTTTACATTGATACTTAGTGTCTTACTTATTAATTATAATTTCTCAATCAATTTCATCAACCAAAGAAATGTAACTGCAAGCCATAAAAAATATGATATAACGCATTAAGAGTTAGCCAAACATTTGGAACTATTAATTCTTAATCTTACTGTATTTAATATATTTAAGTGCTTCAACCTATTTGGTAGATAGTTTAAAGTACGAATTATTGTCAAAATAAGAAAAAATTTACTGAATATATGAGTGCGTTTTTAATTTTAATAATTCTATGATCTTTATAGAAATTATCTGTTCTTTTCCGTTTATTTAATATATATAGATTAGTGGTGTATTAAGGAGGGGACTACCGAAGGCTAAGGCCCCTCCCACTCCCAATTTAAAAAATAAAAGAGAAATTTATTTGATAATGTTATCCGTCAGTTTTGATAGCTGACAGTTATAATATTCATACCGAAATATAGGATAGGATAGGATCATGAAAGGTATTATCATATTTTAGTGAGATTGTTGTTTATTTTTTAGATTTTTTTGACGAACACATAAATTATCAAATTGTTGAAATTGATATACCTTTATTATCTGAGCATAAATTATGGAACAAAAACTCTGAAGATTGGCCTATATTATCTAAACTAGATTACTATCATTATAAAAATAAGGATAAATGCAAAAAAACAGAATTAAAAAATTTTAAAGTATATTAGTTTAGATTATATTAATAATTCTTTTACATTAGATAAAGTCATCACTTTTACAAAACTATCATAATATAATTTCAGACTTGCATTCAAGTCCACAAGATGATACATATGAAAATATAATTTCTAAGGATGGAGAAAAAATTGAGGATTTATTAGCATTTTCAGAGTTTCAACTAGAGCTCTCTTCTCTTATTTGGAGTTATAAAGATGTATATTACCCATTAAGGAATGTGTCTAATTGTGAAGAAATAAGGGAAATTTATTGCTTGCATGCCCTTAATCATGCTATTAAAACTCGTGATTTGATAATTCGCAATAATACCAAGCTAGAAAAAACTAACTTTTCTCAAAATATTGAAGAAAAAGAGTAAGTTTATTTATTATTAATTGACTATATATAAAATATTTTAAATAAATTTTTAAAACTGCCAAATTATATATCACATAAAATACACTTATAAATTTGTTAAACCTTTAAAGTTGGCCCAACCTTTAACAGAAATAAGACTGAGCTCAGGATTGAAATTTTTAAAATAGTTTGGGCCAACTCTGGCTAGAATTTTTTTTCTAATCATGTCGGCTTTGTTTGAAAAATAAAATCCCCCCTCCCATTGCAAATTTGACTGATTTCATAAATATCATTTTAAGCTAATAAAAATTTATCCCCACCCCCCAATCAAAATTTTACAAATATTTGAATATCAATTTTCTAACATAAAACTTATTTTTTATAATTAATTTTATTAAAATTTCTTTCCTTGTGAGTACATTAACATTATTCAAAAATATTAATAAAATGGAAAAATTTCTAGTCAAATTATTAGTGAGTTAGATTTTAATAATATTTTAATTATTAATAAATATCTATAATTTTTTAAATATTTTCCATTTTTACTTCCATTTTGTAGAACAGAAGAAATAGAAATACAAAAGGTAAATAAGGCTGAGCATGAAAAAGTAATGTATCGTCAGAAGTGATATCATTATAATTCAATTGATTAATCAGAGTTTATCATTGTTGCTAGTTGCATCAATAAATTATTTTTTTATAGCTCACTACTTTATAGAAATTTACAAAAACCAAATTTAGATTTGGTTCAGGTTATTGATTTGGCGAAAAATATATATGAACAGGTAGATACAATAAGAATGAATGTAGGTGAATGATTTCATAATATTTGTCTAGACATTGAATCGAAGACTAATATGATATAACACTAATTAAACCTTGTCTAGCACCTAGGCAATTATTGAGATTTAATATAAATATTGGCTCAACTGAAGAATATTATAAAATATCCATTTTCATCCCATTCTTAGATACCTTTTGATCACAAATAAAAGTACGGTTTTTAGATAAAAAAAACATGTCTTTAGCAATCTTCAAGTTTTATTACCCAAAGATCCTTCTTCGTTTTCTAAGGCCACTATTGATAAAATTAAATATTTAGCAAAATTTTATTCCTATGATATTGATACTGAAATAAATTTAATCAGTGAATTCAAATTGTGGTATAAATATTTACTATGTTTAGCTATTTTACCTGAGCATGCTATTGATGTGCTCAATTGGTGTAAAGAAACCTTGGCTCAATTTCCTAATATTTTGAAGTTGTTTTATATTCTTGCATGTTTGCCTATTACAACATGTACAAATGAAAGGACTTTTTCCAACTTGAGAAGGTTGAAAACATATTTACAAGGTACTACTTCCGAATCTCAGCTAAATGGATTAGCTCTGTTAAATATCCACAGAGATTTGTTTCCAACGACAAACGAAATTCTTGATGAATTGGTAACATTCCCACGAAAATTAAAAATCACATTATAATTATAGTATTTAATAAAAAAAATTGTATAATATTGTATTTGATAAGAAGTTTAAAAAAACTTGTTTTTTATATTATTTTCTAGTCAATATTTTATACACATTACTATTAGTATTTTCAATAAAAAAAATAATATTCTACCTATATTGTATGAGAATTTAAGCTGAGGCTAGTTTTTAAAGCAAATTTTATAAAAAAAATGACATTAAACTTTATTTAAACTTTACATTTAAAAAAACTTTATTAATGTAATATACCTAACTTAAAATAATAAAAAATAGGCTTGTAATATCCATAAGCACAAATTAGTAAATAAAAGTTAAAAATAGAAGTTAAATTATGATTTATAGAATAGCTAAAACATAAGACCAGGCCAAAGGCCGAGGGAAAGCTGGCAGGTAAAAAAGGGTTTGGGAAAATCCCCCCCCATAAGAAAATCCTGGATACGCCACTGTTTCCTGTTACCCAATAATTGTGATTAGAGGTCGGCAAATGGAAGATTTTTATGCATGGCCAGGTGGTGATTTAGTTTCGGCCTTGCCCAGCCAGGCACAGTTTCATTTTTTACTAAGGTTGCCTTGCCTGATTTTGAAATATTTTTTTAAATACAAGGCTTAAACCAAAAAATATATTATTGAACACCAAAATAAATAACTATTTATGATTGGGAAGTGGTTAAATTAATAACGCTATTTTTTGGATTATCACTTCTATAAAATATCAGAATTCATCAAATACATGTACAAAAATGAGTCAGGTAACAGGTCGGGGTTTTCAAACCTCTCATTGTGATTATTACCAACTCCTAAAAATATGTCTAATTTATCATTTATGGATAAACTAAAAAAATTAGGCCAGGCTATGACCTAAAAATCAGAGTTGTTGGAGCATGCTACTGTAGTGTGCTATCCTAGCGATAACTAATAGTGCGGAATTTTTTTTTTCAATGTGCCACTTTTTAAAAATATAATGAATGTAACTATAAACATGATATTAAATTTTTATTATTTAATATTGAAATTTATAATTTCAATTTTGTATTATTAACCGAAATCCTCTAGTGTAAATTATTTGCAATGTCATCCCAAATGGATGCCCAAATCAATGTAAGTGAGTCAGACAATGATGATATTAATGAAATGGAAGCTCTGGGAAAAAATGTTTTTGATAATAATAATACAAATTTTTCATTTCCAAAATTTTAAAAATATTTTCAAATTAATGTAAAAACAAAAGGTGGCAAATTTATTTGTTTAAATCCTCAAAAGATATCTTAAGGTAATTGTCATTTTTTAATTCTAATAGTATTTATTAAGAAGGTTTGTGCCAACAGTTTTTAAAAGATAGAAAAACAAAATAACTTTAGTATAGGGGTTACTATATACTAAAAGACCATTTCAATTTAAATTAAATTCATAAATAATATTGCACATGCTAATATTTCTCAGAAACTGTCTGATAAAGTTATTGTCGATTTTATAATTGATACAGTTAAGCCAATGTCCTTGGTTGAAAATCCATCATTTACCATGAAGTTTAAAACTATCTCCTGGTACAACAATTTTATTTCACCAGACACTAATGATTAAGATTGCAGATAATTTTGAAGTGATGAAAGATGCTCTAATAGCAGTTATCAGAGATATCCTATATATGTACCACGGCAGATCGTTGGACACATTACAGAGGGTACAAACTTATTTATATTTATAAATTGATCTTTTAGAGCTTATTTTTGAATCACAGGCCATTAGGCCCTAAGTTTTTAAAAAGAAGATCTGTAACATTCCTCAAAAGGATAATAGGATCTCAGGCACACATTATACTTGCAAATAAAATTTTTGTCATCCACACTTTCTGATCGTCGCTCTAGACTTGGGGATGATAGTTTAGAAATAATTTTATTATTAAAATGCAACAAAATATATAAAAAAACAATATTACCATAAAACAAATTTTTTTTATGAAAAGTAGTCAAAGCTACTTTTAAAAAATAGTAGCTAATAGTGTGCTACCTTTTTTAACAAATAGTGGTAGAACGCTACTTTTAAATGTAGGGCTTAACAACTCTGCTAAAAATCAATAATAAATTTGGCAGGCTTGGAAAAAAATTTGAATTTATAGGGTGATTATCAGAGTTGTTAAAAGATACTTTTTAAATGGATCTAGATACCGATACATCGTCTAAAAATTTATCTAGATACAGATACAGCTTCTAAAAAGTTATCTTGATACAGATACAATTTAAAATGTATCTAGATACAGATACATTTTTATTATACTCTTAGATAAGGTTTGAATAAACCTAAATTAGGATTCTATTGTGAATATTCATGAAATGATCTAAAAAATTTATTGATTCGATATCACATTTATCAAAATATAACTAAAATAAAGATTTTTAGATATTAATATAATGTATGATTAATATAAATAATTATTTTATATCATTAATAAAATAATACAATATATGATTAAATGATTATAAATAATTATTAGATTTCAGTAACAAAATATTTTCAAAATTTTGGTCATTAAGACGTCCTCGTTTATTTGTAAAGACATTTTTAGCTATACTAAAAAGTCTTTCAACAGGGGCGCTGGAAGGGATTGTGGTGTTATATTTAATGAATAACATTTTTATATCAGGATATTGTTTAAAAATACCAAAATCTCGGCATTCATTTTTGGAAAAACTATTTAAAATTTGTTGATTATTAGAATTTAAATCATTAACAATCATATCTCCTCCTGTGGGATACTGAAAAAATCGGATATTAAATTATTGGTTTTTTTTCACAGGTTTATGATTCTGATATTCCAAAATCCTGAGCAATAGTATAAAGATCTGATATTGATATTGGTGCAACTGTTTCTTCATCTTCCAGATCATCTATGGATTCACTAATATTTTCAATTGGCTGGAAAACTCTATCATAAATAAGTAATATTATATAAACCTAAAAAACTTAATAAAGTTTTTGGCATTATTAGTAATGGTCTTTGAGATTTTATTTTGTATGCAATAATCCTTTGCTATATCTTGTAAATTTTTTGCTATTTTATCATATGTATGACTACCAGTCATTCTTTTACAAACCAACGCTACATTTTCTTTCCAAACTTGTTGGATCTATATAGTGTACAGTGACTCCTATGTATGAACTAAAAATTAACATTTCTTAAAACTGCTCAAATAATTTGTTTGTAATTAAATTATTATACAAATTTAAATGTTAGCTATAACGGCAATAGGCACTCCAACAATCTGCTGTTGTACATATTAACGATGGTTCTATTAGACTTTCAATAATTTCTTTCTTTTCATTCTCCCATCTTTGGGAGATTCTAGCAACCACTGTGTCGGCAAATTATATTTTTTTTGTGTAATGTTTTGATCATTTTTATAAATGAATTGAAAATGGCTGAATGCTATCTATACATTGCAATTAAAAATGGCAAATTCCTTGAGATGGATTGTAATATCAGAATTTGCTTGTTATTGATAACTCGGACATAATATTTAATTAATATTTATATATTCTTTTTTATATAAGATATTTTACATATATATATAATTTTTTTAATATATATATTAATATTAAGTTATATGCTCATATGAAATAAAATAAATTTTACATTCAAGTATTTTTATTTATAATATAAAAAAGCTTTAAATAGAAGCATATCAAAATTTATCTTAAAAAGTATCTAAAAACAGATACAGATACCTCTAAAATAATATCTAGATACAGATACTTTAATCAAAAATCTATCTAGATACAGATATCACATTTTTATATCTAGATACCTTAACAACTCTGGAATTTATAAATTAAAAAAAATGGAATCATGTAAAGCATCTTAAAGTGGTCTGGTCTGGAAAATTCCATGATAAGTTAAATAATATCATTGACCTGCAGGCCCAACCCAAAACTTAAAAATGTGGACATAGCAAATTTTAAAAAATTAAATTAAGGAAAATCATATATAAGCATTTAATGTTCTTTGCTCCACATTTTTTAATTTCCCTTTGAAACAATTTACAAAATACAGCCAATATGTTTAAAAATTATATCGGATCTGGCCTTTAAAATCGGCTTATACCAAGGGGGGAGGGAATATGATATTTTTATAGTCAAAATAATCGGTAACTTTATTTTAAATTATTTCCTATATATATATAGTATTTTATAATTATGTAATTTAACTTCGAATATTATGCAATTATATTGACCTCCATAATATAATATTAAATGTAGGAAAGTTATAATAATATAATATACAAATAACATAACCTTTAAAATATATAAGATATTCAAATATAACAGTATCATCGTTGAATATGATTAAGAATACAGGCAGGAAAATGACTAAATTTAACTAACTAAACTATGCCAAAGCTTAGTATACTATTATCCAACATAACTATATCTATTAGTTGTAGTCATTGGTCAATTAAATAGCTCTAACTATTTATTTTAAAAAATAACTGGCTTTTTTATGACCACAGCTAATAGCTATTGTATTTTTTATACAGCTTAGTCATAAAAGGTTATGAATAAGCCATTGCGCATCATCTATGGTAAGGAATGGAGTATGAAGATGCAGTATCATTTGAATAAAATTAGAGGGAGGGGTAGTAGAGTAGTTTTAATTTGGATTAGAGGCTAATGTAGCCTGACCTGATAGCCCAAGAAGATTCAGTGTGGAAATCCCTTCTTTAAAAGAAATTATTTTTCACATCTGTGCTAAGCCTAAAATTTTTACCTCTTTACATGTAAAATATGAGGGTCATCGAAAAAAATAAATCATTTTACAGGTAAATTGCCAAAAGCCTAATAAAACGAATTTGCAGAATATTCGAAATAAAATGGAAATGACCTAAGGATTTGGGTCGATTTTTAAAAATCACATGAAGGAATTGTCTATAGTTGATGATTGTATTATGGGGAAGGGGGGGGGGAGAAAAATAAATGCTATATATTTTTCTTTCTCCTTGGGAAAATATTGATCGCAAGATTTAACCAAAATAATATTATATAAACTTGGAGACTTTGCTAATAGATGGCAGAAAGCTTTGGACCTCTATTTGCCAAATCTCGATGCTTACATAATATTCTTTTGCCTGTGATTTATAAGATTTTGATAATTTACCTATGTATAAAACTTATATTATCATTTTACAAGTCGGGTTTACCCGGAAAACCCTTTTTTTTAAATTGAATGAATTCTTTCTCGTTATTTGTCATTGCAGTTGTTTGTATCGGTTCGAGTTGGTTTTTCGGTTTATAGAGTTTGATTCCTTATCGAGTTCATTTTTGGTTTGTTATCGATTTTGTTAATTATCGCATCATAATCCTTGGTTGCTTTATCGGTAGCTTGTTGTCTCGTTCAATCTTTATCATAATTTGTTATTATCATTGTCTTTGGATTTTGTTTAAGGTCTGTTGTTTTCGATTGAATTTTAATTACCTTTTATAATTTTAATCTACTTTTTATATTCAAACTTATTGATTTCACTAAAAAAGATTTCAGAATAAATTTTGTTTTTAAACCTCCGCTGCCACTATGCTTAAACAGTATGGCAATGCAGATTCTAAAACTACTTAATATTATAAAAGATTTAAATACAGTATCAAAATGATTGTTGTAAAATATTTCCATACATTTGTAATAACTTTCTTAAAAAATTTTGACTTGCTATATTTTTTTAATGTTATCAATATTTAATTTTTTTTTACAATAATTACAGCAAGTCAAACAATTTTATAAGAAAGTTGTTACAAATATATGGAAATGTTTTGCAACGGATCATATTATTACTGTATATCTTATTCATTTAGAATATAAAATAATGATATATTTTACTATAACATTTTACACAATTAACATCACGATTCTAATGAAAAATAAATTGAATTTAACTTTAATATTTACAAAATAATAAGATTTGATAGAATTATATTTGTCTTATATAACATTTTCTAAACTTAATTTAATCATTTTTATGATAGTTTTAGAGATAGAGGTTTTACAAGACCCAAGATTTTGATTTTAGTGCCTTTTAAAAATTCGGCTTTTAGAATTGTTCACACCATGATGACATTGATGTCGAGCACATTTACACAAAAAGTTTGTTTTTATTATTTATTTAATGTTTATGTTTTATTACCTTCAATTTGTTATATATATTTTTTTGCTAGAGTCTAGTCACAAATAAGCATAGATTTTATCAAGAATACAGTGATTTGGATCAAAATGCTGAAATCAAATATCCATCAAGTTAATAATATTCTATGATCATTCTTAATTGTGTTTTTATATTAATACATCATGCCTTATAATAAGTGAAATATTAATTATATTGATAAGCGTTGATTAATTAATTTATATACTTAGAGTAAAACTATTTGTTTTGAAAGTATATATTTTGATCATATCAATGATATTAACAGCATTAGACTGTCAATTCATTCGTTAAGATATCATTTTAAAGTGGAATCAAATTTCAAATTGAAGTCAAAACATTCATTGGTAGCCATTTTATGATGGTACATTAACCAACATAGGTAGAGGAGTAATTAATATATTATTTTATAATTATTGGCAAATGAATATTACATAAATTATTTTAAGAAAATCGATAATATCATAATCGGAGAACCTATTTTTTAAAATTATGTTACCTTCACATTAATTAATTATTTTTTTAACAAAATAATAAATTATTTTGAAAATCTCTATTAAAACAAAGAATTAGGGCTCTGATGATTTACAAATTATCACTAAATTTTTTACCGATCCGATATTCACCAAAAACCTATCCAATAGCCGACATTGGTTACCGAATCAATTTTGTTCTAATATAGGAAAATACCTTTAATTGGCACAGTTCTAAAAAGAATAAAATATTATAATTTTAATAGTTTGTCATATAATTTTTTTTTAGCTAATCAAATCAGTGCCCTCTCACACAAGGATCCGAATCCGATATAATTGTGTCCGCTGGTATTTTCAGAATTTTTGTAAGGGGAGAGGAGTTAGGTTTTTTACAAAATATATATTATCATAATCCAAAGTTTAACATTTGCTCAATAAAAAATAATCTTTTAAAATTTTAATTTCGGTAGATTTTTAAAGGAAGATCTTTTTGATCAAATTTTCACTAAAATTCCAAATATAATTTAATCTTAGCAAGTAATTTGTGATTTTTATGTGTAAAAAATCTTTCATGATGAAATCACAAATTTTTGTAAAAATTTTTTGATCTTTATTTAAAAAATCTTCAATTTTATTGATCTTCAAAGATTTTCTGTTCAAAATTTTGGTCGAAAATCTTCAGGGATTCATTTGAAGATTTTTATCAAACCCTGATGATAATTATTTTGAAAAATTATTATCTTATTTATTTATTTTTAATATGGTTTATAATGACAGAGGGACGGGGGGAATATTGGGGAAATTTTTTAATTATCTCAAAATGATATTTACGAAAACTGATAAATTTGCGAAGGGAGTATTCCCCCTTTGGTTACTACCAAGATTGCGTCATTTAAATATCAAGGTGTAGCCTTATTATTGTCAACATTCACATTTTGTATCTCTTATAATTTAATTATTTGTAATCACTAGGGGAGGAGTCTTAGCTTTATTGGCTTAGAATCTAAAGGGTTCTAATTCAAGTTTTTATAGTAGGGTAAGAAATTTAAATCAGTCAGATTATTTTTTTAAATATAATGACGGAAAATCAATATTTTATTTTAACTTATTTTTTTATTTACTAAATTTTATCAAAATTAGTAATCAATATATTTAGAAAAAATTACCTTAATTGACTTTATAAGTACAATATAGAAAAAAAGAATCTTTCATATTTTAGAAAATATTCGGAAGCAATATTTTTTATAGACCTTCTCTATCACAGCTTTTTTTATCATGGTGTTTGGTTACCTTATTAGTAAATTAGTTGAAAAAGTATGTTTTTAAATTATTATATTATATCGGGGTGTACCGATACCACTTTTTGAGGCCAATCCGTTCCGATATTAAATTGATAGCGGCCGATTACCGATCCGATATCATATCTAATTTTGTATTCTGTAAAGATACCAATGGTTTTAATTTTTAATACACTTTTTATTAGTATATCATCTATAATTTAACGATACCATAACTTATGTCATTTAAATATATAATGATCAGTTATAGTTTATATTCAATTCAATTGCAATTTTAAAAGTATATAAAATATTTTTGAAACCAAATATTCCAATTTATGAGAGGTAAGTCTGCGGCGATGGTAACTGTCAATATCACTAGCTAAAAACAGATTCTGAAGAGATTAGCGCTTACTTTTATAAACAGAATGCGCAAAAAAAATAACAATATGGCAAAATGCTTATTAATTATTATTATTAAAAAAATAAACATAAAAATGGATTTCGATTTTATTTATAAAAATGAAAGATTTTAGATATAACTTTTTTTAAAAATTTTATAACATTTTATTTTTGTTAAAAACGTCATTTTTTATCGGATCGGAAAATTTTATAATATTGGCCGGTAACCGATATTTTAAAATGGGTGAAATATCGGCCTGATCCTATAATAAATATCGGTACATCCCTAATATTATATTTTAAAAAGAGATTAAATAATTTATTTGATATATTCTTTTGCCAATAAGAAAGAAAGTTATAAATAATTACTGTAAAAGTAACTTGATTAGCTGAAAATGGGTTCTCAAACTAAAATAATTTGTGATATTCAATTTCCAATAAAATTTTAATAGAAAATATATTAATTACACAACCTTATATACTTTATTCATTACCCTTATAAAATGGTTACCAACCATCAGAACCCCCTAGACTTCTTTAATCCAATGACGCTGGGACTCCCCCCCCCCTAGTAATTGATGCTGACTAAAATGGTGCCTTGGACTATTCAGTTCATTTAAATGAATGCCCATTTCAATGCATTATTTGGTAGTCTAGTACTCTACTATTTAATGTCATATTCAGATAATTAATATATCCCATATGTTGTCATTATTCTTGGGGGGGGGGGGGGGTCACCATAAAATGGAGAACTTTAGGCTCCATCATTATAAATTAACTGGTATACATTTTTTCCCTAAACATTTAATTTTAGTCATTCTCATAAAATAATTGATTGTTTATAATGACATATTGTATTGGGGGGGGGGGGGCAATTTGTTAATAAATGATTACCAAAACTTTAATTTCTTAAAGAGGGAAACGCCTCTCCTTTGGCTACGCTTATGATGTACAGTGGTGTTTTTAACGGCTTGATTTACCCAATTTTTAAAACGGCTAAATCAAGATTTTCGCCAAAATATTATAACCTACGCCTCGAAATTTTGATAGTAGATGTACAAATCTTTCTAGGTAATTTCAAGCTTGAGTTTTTTACTGGCTAAAATCTCAGTTCGTCGTTTTGAAAAATTAGTTAAATTCAGCCATTTAACAACACTAATGTACAGTGATGAGTAAAATCTTTAATTGTAATTCTTTACAATATGAACATAGTTTTATAAGCTTAGAAAATAATTTACTTTATTATTATAGGTTATTATCATTTTTGATGATTTTTAAACTTTAAAGCTCAAATTACACGGTTTATTGTACGTCGGGTGGGCTACCATGAATCAATTCTTGCTTTATATATTTTTTTATCAGTATTGGATTGAACAAGAAAATCGGATTTATGATTCGGTATTTGGATTCCCTTACCCCTCATTCACAGTTATCGCGAATTTGCGGCGGAGTATACAAAATATGCATATTTCTATATTCTTCTCCCCGAAATTTTTTACTTCGCGCTAACTGTGAATTTAGGGGTAAGCAGCCCGATATAAATAAATGATACCCTATTTAATCCTGAAAATTTAAGCTTATTCGAGCGCAGTTTAGACCAATAATATGAGAGTAGTTAATTTAAAAATTTCTTGCTTATTGACATTATTATGCTGAAATTATATGATTAAAATCCTTATTATTTCTCATTTTTAAAATTATGTAGAGGATAGGAAGGAATTGTTTAGCGGCAATGTTGATGATTGTTTCAAATTAGGACTCAGCATATCTAAAAAATGCCTTAAGCTTTATACCGACTTCTACTCTTCTGACATTATCATATGTTCGCCCCTGGGTCTTAAGACATTAGGATCTAGTGCCAAAAAGATTGTCACAAATAAGCATTTGGAAGATTTGAATAAGGGGTAAGATTAGCTAATAAATTATTTTTATTTTTACGTTATTTTTTTTTTAAAAAAATAGCATAATAAATGAAAAAGATATCTATAATAAGGAATTAGCCGATGAAACGTTAGATTTTTTGTCTTCCATCGAAATCCTGATCATGGAACAGACGGACACATTCATGATGCAAAATTGGAGCCATGTTTTGGTAATTAGTATTTTAAAATATTTTTTCGTTCGAAATGATGACAGTTGAAGCATTTTTAAACAGAGCTATAAATTGATCTGTCCAATCACTCATGGTCAGAGTGTAACATTCTTGTTCTTATCACGCTAGGCAAAAAGATATTAGATTTACTGCATCATTTTTTTATATTTGAAAAATTATTAAATTTTTTATAGTCATAGGGATCATACTAATATCAGTTTAGGTTTAGGCTCAGGTTAAAATATCCGTTTAAGTTATTTGTAATAAATTCGGTTTGGTTTAAACCTTTAAACCCCTGTTCAAATCTTTTCATATATAAATCTATTTAAATTGTATAAAGAGAAGCACATTTTTTAAAATTTATCACTATTCCATAAAAAATAGTATTGTAGCCATATGCAATTGAAATGTTTTCAAGAGTCTCTTTTGTATATGTAAGGAGAAAGAGTAGCTTCTATACGCTAACCTGGGTAGATGGCACCGTCAAATTACAATTTATAAATAGATACTAATACTTATCACACAAAACTGTATTTATAACCATTAAAGGGGAGTTAATATATGAAAAGTTCATACCATTCAACCTTTTTATAGGTTCGGGTAACGAAATTTTTAATCGAGCAAAATTAATATGCTGTGCCATCTATTTGGGAGATTTTATTTGGGGCATTGTTGCAAGTTATCATTAAATCGCCAATTTGAAGATGGGCATCAGGGTATGGATCATTGCTAACAAATTCTAGCATATCATTTGTTAGATCTATTGTATTTACTCTGATGACATTATACAACTTCAAAGATATTGACCAATCATTAGAATATATATAAAATATGAAAATTATTTTTAAAAAATTTATGCGCTGGCTGTGCGCCGCGTTATGAAAACCTGCGTAGCGGGATTTTCATAAACGGCGGCATTTTCGGCGTGATCAAAAATATCGGCAGCTGGCTCGCGCATAGGTCTATAATATAGTTAATTAATGGTCCAATATCTGGCAGTATCTCTATATACAAAAAAATGTGTCTCTAGATAAAAAGCATTTAATTCTGAATATTTTTTAAAAATAATATTTGGTGAATTGGATTGAACGGTAGATGGTAATTATATATTGCGTTACATTCGTTTTTAATAATAAGGATCTTATACAAATGATAAGTTTTTGAAAATTAGTCATGAGAATATATTAGTTTAAGTAACGTTTGATATTTAAAAGAGAAATTTTTTTCTCCTTTAATTTGCCAACTTTCATTCATTACATACACAAAAAATAGTATTTGGTGAAAATGATGAATAAAAGACCCATAAAAGCTCATGACGCTGATTTTTCCCGCGTACGTGATTGGTATCTTAACGGGTTGGCCAAGCATTACAGGCAAACCATTATATTGAGCCGAGTCAATTCTCCTCAAATCAACTCCTTATTTCATGCCTATTGTCAAAGTTTGCTAAAATTATAATTTTCAATATTAAAAGTTGTTTTGGTTGGGAGGGAAAAAGTATAGTCTTCACCAAAAAATTTGCATATATAAGAGGAGAATTTTTTTTAAACGTTAGCTTAATTTGATCTGCCTGCTTAAACATAATTAAGCATTTGTTATATTTTGGAACTTTCATTTATTTGTCTATTCCATATTGTTAATATAATTTGATATAGATATTTTCCTATCACGTGTATAACATATTCCATAAAAACAATCAAATTAAAACTCAAATTAAGTAATTGATTGAATGAGTGCTTTACAATTTCTTTTCGAAGGTATTCTTGTTTCTCTCTTTTACTAATTGTCACAGCATATATCCCCTATATATGGCATCTCCCTTTATTTGGATCTCTCCCTATACCTTTGCTCGTTTTCCTTCGATGTTATTGTTCACCCTCGTTACAAATTTGTTTATTAATCTCTAATTTGTGGACCTTTTTTATGGTAATTTCACTTGCTCCATATCTCTCATTCTACTATCTCTGTATCGTTTTCCCTACAGCCCAAATTCCAGCTTTGCAATCACTTTCCTCCAGGTTGTTATTTTTTCAATACTTAGCTGCACTTGATGTACTCATACACCTAGGCTATGATTCATTTCTTTCATAATATTTCGACTACGAAAATCCATTAACTCATCCATAACCAACATATATTCCTTTTTTTATCCCATATGTTGTCCACTATTCTTATATCATATGTAAAATGTATATTTATAAAATGAGTGAATTTATTTACACAAATATTCCTAATCTTTAATGTAATGCCTTTACCTTAAGTTCTACCTCCTGTTTTTCTTCCTTCTCCTGGATCATCTCTTTTATCTATTCCCTCTGCCCTCACTCGCAACGTGCCCTATTTCATTGCAGTTAAAACATTTGATATTTTCTCTTTGTACCCGTTTGTGTCTTCTTCCTAATCTCCTTTCTTCTACTTCTACTTCTTAGTAACATTCCTACTACCCTGTGGCGTAGCCAGAATTTTCCAATGATAGGAGTATTCATAGAAGAATGGCTCGAATATTGACATTTTTGAATTGGAAAAAAAAGGAAAGGAAGTTAAAGGAATGAGCAATGGAATGGGGAAGGGAGGCAAGGGAACGGAAGAGTAGAAAAAGATTAAGAGTTGCCGAATATAAGAGTTGATAAGAAGGGATGTATAAAATTACACAGAACATGGTAAAGGAAAAATCAGAATTTTATTGATATTTTATCATAAATTTGAAATAATTTATTTTCTTCACAATTATATATAATTTTTAAGTTATGTTTTCGCTAGCATAATATTTTATATAAATAATTCTCATGATCATCTGCACATGTAACCTAAATTATATTAAACAGTATAAACAATATTGTAATTTTAAACACACATAGAAAACATACAATATTTTAATACTAAACACACATAAACAAAACATATATATTGCAAAAAACAGTAGCTATTTGAATAGCTTTATTTATGTCTATATCATCTTCAGATAATAATCTTTGTAAAATTTTAGGATTTTTTATTCCTAATATAAATTTATCTGTCCTCAAATTCACAAGTCGTTGCTAATTTTCGAAGATTTTGTATATAGTCTATTAATTTTTCCTCATTTTTTTTATTATATTGATAAAAATTATATCTTTCTACATTTATATTAGGGGTAGGATGAAAAATTTTGAGTAAAATGTTATGTATTTCTAATACCTCTTTATTTCCTGGACTATCTGGTGCGCATAAACTTACCAATATTTTATTAGTATCACATCCTATTGTTGTAATAACAGGGATTTTTCTTGTGATGATGTTAACTATGGTTGTGTGTTTTTAAATTCTTTAAATAAGTCGTACCAATCTTTGTAACACAAGTTTGAACTTTTTATCGACTGCGCCATTTTTAAGTGTCTTTTTTAATAATTATGGAAATATAGAAATCTTTTGTATTGTATTTTTTGTAGTAATAGAATTTTCTCAATTTTATTTTTTCAAAATAATGATATAATTTTCTGTTATTCAAATTCATATTATAATATATTATAATGAAAATAAACATTTTACAAAAAATAACAATTCAATACTTATCACAAAACATATACTATTATTAATCAAACATAAGCAAGATATATATAGTATTATAAAGTAATCACACATAAACAAAACTAAGCATCGCAACCAAAATAAAAGAGAGAAGGAAATGAGAGAATAGAGGAGAAAAGGAAACGTTAGAGTACGAATAAACAAAAGATTGGCATGGAAGCAAAATGGGGTAGAACTCAAGAATCGATAAATGGGGGGTGTATGATAAGATAAAGGAGTGAACAACATAAGGGATAAAAAAAGGAATATGGTGATGGATGAGTTAATGGATTGTCGTAGTCGAAATATTATGAAGAACAAAATGAGCCATAGCCTGGGTGTACGAGTACATCAAGTGCAGAGAAGTATTGAAAACAACTTTTAGAAAAGTGATTGCAAAATTTGTATTGTAGGGAATACGGTACAGAGATAGTAGAATGAGAGAGACATGAAGCTGATAAAGTTACCATAAAAAGAGGTCCACAAATTAAATATTAATAGACGAATTTATAACGAGGGTGAACAAAGACATCGAATAGTATATATATGAGGTGAAGATTACTAAAAGAGAGAAACGAGAAGACCTGCGAAAAAAAATTGTGGAAGCATTTATTTATTCAATTACTTAATTTGAATATGCTTCTTTTTTTTGGAATATTGGTAGATATATGATAACAAAATATATCAAATTATATTAACAATATGGATTAGACAAAGATATATTATATATACATAAAACTATTATAATATATATTTAATAAAATATTATATTTAGGGAATTAACAAGAAATAACAATATAATTTCAAAACATAAAAGTATTTAAATGATTTATACTTAAAAAAAAAATTTTCTACAATTTAAATAAATTGATTACCTATTATTAATATAACCCCATTTATAACATGCCAAATATTAAATATCATTCTTCAAATTTATTTTATATTTACAAGATCATGAAGGGAAGGTTATGATAATGGAGCCTTGTACTCGCGGGATTTTAGATGGGATTAAATCAAGCATTACACATGTAATACAAATTTAATATCTTACTTTTGTATTCTGGGCGATTATTTTATTTTAGGTAAACAGAAAAATCACCTAGAAATTTTTTTCTAAAAAAAGTTTAATATGACAATTCTATGGATCTTTAAATCTTAAATATCTTCTCGCATTTACCGGGTAAGGGCTAGGATTATTTAATTTAAGATGATGATAGGAAGTGAAAAAAAATCCTAGGAAAAAACATCGCAGGGAGAGAGAATACAAAATCCTTGGACAAAAATTAGGGCTGCGCCGATGTATTTGCTGACATTAAAATGATATGGACATAAATATGCATATATCAGAATTGCCACTAATGGGCAGTAAATTTTTAATGCATAATAATCATCTTAGAATGTTTATAAAACTTTAAAATTATTTATCAAACAAAAATATATTAAGGAAAAGCCAGCATCGGCAAATGAAATGAGTCTATGTTTTGGTTCGGTTTTTAACAATTTTTGTTCATCATAACCAGTTTTGATAGGTCAATTCTGACGGCTACTTATAATTTTGTTTTATAACAAGTTGTAATGTTATATCGACATTACAAGATGTTTATAAAAAATTATCTGCCCATTTGGTACCAACTCAGTTATAAATAGGTTTTTAATATCGGCACAGCCCTGAAAAAAATCCACATAAAGTTGAAATATTGTCCGTAAATTAAATTATACATGGGATTTTTCTGATTCTTGATCAAAACAAGACCTTATTTTAGCTAGAGTACTGCAGGGCCAAACTGGCACTAATTTCGTCAATAAAAAATAAGATCGGCTTTTGGCCGCAATAATATTATTTATTTCTTCCTATTCTTTTTTGTCTGATTGAATACCACAATTATAAAATGAATTTAAAAAATAAGAACAGCTTAAAAAATTGTAGGTGGAAATATTTATTATCCATTTTCATATTATATATTGAAATACGCCTAAAACATCAATAAACTATCAAAGTTATTGTTGAATATTTAAATGCATAACAACATTAAAATGGTAAATAAAATAATATTGAGTTTGAGATTTCTTCCCTATAAGCATTTTTTAAAATTTGACGGGATACTATTAAATCTAAAAAGAATCGCTATCGGACCTCGAGCTCGGGCGGAAATTGCAAGTCCTAATTGAAAAATTACTCAATAGTTTTGCTTAATTCCACCTAAACTAGGTAGAAGCAATGGCAAGTAGCCGAGGATTAGGGGTGGGATTATATATTTTTTTTAAACTAATCTTTTGGAGTAAAAGAGTAGGGGTGCCAATTTCTTGAGCGTTAAGGAAAAGAAATAGGGTTGCAATCATAGAGAGAGAGATAAGAGCTAGGTTTAATATACCACCAAACTTCATTGATACACTACCACTCTGATTTTTTTAGCTTTTTAAAAATTTTAATTTAAAATATATTCATAAACACTCAATTTTTATTCAAAACCTTCGTTAATTATTAAAATATGTCTATATTTTTTAAAATATGTAATTCCATTCAAAAATAGTAATTTATCACAAAAGATTAAATGACTAAATTTAAAATATAATTATCATTCCAGTCAATGAAAAATTTCAAGCTCCTAAAGCGCATTTTTGCATTTTTTTGGTTCATATATTATATTAAAGAATTTTTCAGACATTTTTAAAGATCGGACTGAATGCTCAAAATGCGTCTTCTTTGGTAGATGCTCGCTTTACGTTTTTTACGGAAAAAATTTTAGTCCAGCGAATTTTGGAAGGCAATCGACGTTACGCCAGAAGAACCTTATTGTTTATTCCTTCGTATTTTGATTTCGTGAGAATCAGAAATTATCTTATTGAAAGGGAGATTGGTTTCTTTTCAATTACTGAGTTTGATTATTTTATTTATTTTGTTTTCTTCAAACTTTTAAACAAATACACAAAAATTTGATAATCATTCGTGTTTAAGATAAATGATACAATTATATTATTCCTTCTTAAGTTTGATCTTATCTCCTGTTCTGGAACATTATAAAAATTATTATTTTAATGATATTAAGCAAGGATTTGCTAATTATATTCTTTATTATTATAAACTAAATTAAATGCTATATTTTTAAAGATACGACGACGAAAAACACGTGAGAAAAGTTAGAAAAGCTATAAAAATCTTTGAAAGCTCTTATCAGAATCAGCAAAATGCCTCAGCGAATATAAAATCAACCCCTTGTCATGATATCTCTGTTACCATCGATAAAACTCTGCTCATTTTAAACACCGAAAGGAGCTATTTTTTCCGCAAACCTAGATTTCAATGCGTTTATGAATGCTTATTTTATGAACTTCCTACTTACCCTGACTACTATCTCGATTTGTATAATGATTGTATAGTGAGTGGAAATTCTAACGTTAATAAAACCCCATCTTCATTCGATAACTCGCACATAGTTAGTCAAAATATCAGGGATAGTCTTCAAAAAATGACTGTTTTGTATGATTGCAAATTTGACTGGCTTAAGATATCCGCCCTACTCGGAATAAATAGAGCCAAGCATATGGTGCTTAATTCAATGGATAATATAAAACGTAGAAAGCATGACTCATTTAATGGTAAAATTAATGATGTTAGCTTTGAAAACATTGGGAACGAAATCGGAGTTGAATCAATAGTATTTATAACTGGTGCTTAATTGATGTGTAGATTTTTACAGATATTATTAATTCTAAAATTGTATAAGATTGATAACTACTGAAGCAACAAATTGTTAATCCTGGAAATTATAAATAAATTTATAGCCAGAAAGGGTGTTTAGATCAATGATCAACATAATAGATAATCAGATCAGGCTATCACTACACTATAAATGCGCCATACGAAAATAAGATTTTAATAATATATTTAATACTTTTAAATCCTTGATGAATTATTTATAGTGAGTACTGAGATATTATCAATAACCTTTACCTTGCATATTCTTCTGTAATGCACAGGTTTTATCAAAAAAAATAGTCATCTTTCATTTTCTTTTAGAATTTATATTCCTAATACTTTCGATAACAATTTTTTATATTATGTAATATACTTAGGGATGGGAAAAAATATTTAAAAAACGAAAAAATAACAAATATAGCATTTAATTTCTTTTTTTACTCTATATTAAAATGTCACGTTACAAAGTACAACATTTATTGCAAGGAGAAATATTGGAATTTATCAATGTAAATTTTGCTCAAAACACTTTTTTTTTTCTCAAGTAGCAGCTGACTAAAGAATCATATATGTAAGAATGATAAATGCTTTAGCAGAAAATGATATTTTACTTTTAACATTATGAGCATGCATTTTATGCCCAAAATTCAATGCAACCAATTTATATTTTGAAGAAAGAAGGAAGGACGTCCTTGGAGAAAAAGTAAAAATATTATTTTATCTCTTTTTATTTCTCTTTTTCAATCTACTATTTATATATTTTTTACAAACTAAAATTAGAATATAATATTAAAAAGGTTAAGTTATAAAATAAAAGTAACTAAAATAAAAATATAATTTGAATAAATGAATGTGCGTTACATAAATTAAAACATATTACTATTCATTAACCAAAATATATAATATTTTAATTTATTAATTCCTATAATATAACATATTTCATGTCTATTATTTGTATTATTAAATTTATTGTATTTTAAAACTTTATTTAAAGGATTGTGAAAATAAATAAAATTAAAAACGAAAAAAAACAATTGCTTTCTTCGTATTTTTTCCATGAAAAATATGGTTTCTTTCATCCCTAAATATTTCCAGTACTCTCTCCAAATTTAAGTTTGAGAATTCCTACAAGAAGTAATATTGCAGTTCTCTATTATCAAACTGAAAAATTAAATCAACATTAAATTAGTCTTTTACACAATTTCGTCTTCCTTAATACAATATGTCATAAGATATAATCTAAAAAAAATAAGTGTTCAAGTAAATAATTTTTTAAAAATAATGACTATATTTTACATTTTTCAGAAAAAGCATTTAGGCTTCTAAGCTTTGTTCTTTTTTAAATTCTAAATAGCTGTATAAATAGAATGTGATTTAGATTTAAAAATATATAAGAATATTGCACCTTTAAGTTATCCATGACTAGCTACTTTTTGGGGAAAATATAATTAATTATATACACATGCTTGTGAATGTATTCTAACTCCTTTTTAAGCTAATTTTTGCAATTTGCTTAAATTCACCTATTTTTGAAAAATATAATTAGAACCATTTACTTTTTAGTGATGTAACTATAACTAAAATATGTGATTTCAGCGATGCCCTCTAGTGTTGACAAGCAACAGACTTAGGTTTTCCTCATAATCCATCAAACTGGATATTTAATTTAGGGGAAAGAAAAAATGAGGGACCCTTCACACGTTTGTGGGCATGTTTAGCTTCTACATGAGCGGGAGAGGTAGGAACAATTTGCATCCTATTTTTTAAGGGGGGTGCTGCTTTAATGGGGGTTATCTTATTAAATTTTGAGATGAAATAGGACAAAATTTATTGCTGTTAAAATTAATACTTTTATTATAGAATTATTATAATACAATTCAAATCTATATATTGCAAACAATCATGCACATTGTTTTCCAAATAAAACTTTCTGCTATCCTTTTAAATGTAATTCAAAAGGTTTCGATATTTCAGCTATAATAATAAATTCATTGTAAATAATGGAGGTTTTAATTGAATTTATTATCTAAAAAATAAATTCTTTATATTCACAAAATATCGATAGTTGGTAGTAAAGATAGATTAATTTAAGTTATAGTATCAATAAATTAAAAAGGCGGAAATTGGGGGAGGGGGGGGGTAGGCAAAGTTTTTGAAGGGGGTTTGCATCCAGTGAAAATCCTGTCATGTAGACGCTGGGCATGTCGCACGTACTTGTACGCGAAATAGTCTTAGGACTATTACTTAAACGTCTGGACTGATTAAAAAGGGGTTGGGAAAACAATAGCCCACGTCCAAAAATTATATGAATAAATTATAAATCACTATGTCTGCAAATTAGTAAATTTTATTGGGGAATTGGTCCAATAGATAAAAAGTCCAGAGTTGTTAAAAGATACTTTTTAAATGGATCTAGATACAGGTACATCGTCTAAAATAATATCTATATAAAGATATTTTAATCAAAAAAAATCTATCTAGATACAGGATCTTAATCCTTTAACAACTCTGAAAAAGTCAAAGGGTGGTGGCCAGTCTTCACATAATGGCACATTTTCCTTATGTGAAACATGGGTTAAAATGATTTTCAATCTGTTAAATAATCTGATTTTGTTTGTTACACCTTTCGGTGAAATAATTTTTATTTTTTATATTAACATTTTTTTTATATCATATTAACATTACATTTTTTTTGATATCAATTTAAATTTAAACGAACATTTTTATTTTACATAATTGGTTATTTATTTATTGTTAAAAAAAGATATAAAAGGAAAATTGTTTTTGGTTAAAAGGGAGATAATAAAATGTAATTTATAAAAATAAAAGAAAATTCTGTCTTATTCCAATAATATAACTAGAGAATTCTATGTAAATTCTTCACAATCGGAAACACTTTAAAGTGTTTTAAGCATAAAATATTTTAGGAGGCCTATTCCTCCTACTATTAATAAATATTTCGTATGAATATATATAGAGACGGTTTATTTATATAATTTTTTTATATAAATATTAGACCTAAATAACAAAAATTATTAAAATATTGTTTTCTAATACTATCATCATTACCTGTTTTTGGGGAAAAGGTAATTTTATAATGCGTTATAAATAGCACTAGTAAAGTTAAATGGGTTTGATAAGATTTTTCTGAATGCAGGGGGGGGGAGGGTACTATCAAATAACAATAATTGCTTGTTCCATAAGCGATAATATAAAAATTTTATTAAATACGGTAGTTTTATAGGTTTTTGACCTAAATATTTTGTTAAAATAATCCAATCTATTAACGAATACACCCTTTCTAGTCATAATTAATAGCAATAATTTGGTATTTTAGACATCAGTTTATAAATTATATGCTATTTTTTTTAAGTAATCCCTGATTTGGTGTCGGTGCTTGACTACTTGAACCATATTTTTCGTTTGATTGAATGATTGCTCCAAACGAAAGGATTCTAAAAATACCCAAAATAATACGCAATCAAAAAAAATATATTTCAAGAAATTATGTAAATAACTCAAATAAATTATAAAAATAAGAGTATAAAATATTCGGTGTTTTTTTGGATATTGCATAAAATCTGTTAAGAATTGTTGTAGACCTAATCCAGAGTTGTTAAAGAATCGAATCAAAAGATCGCCGATCCTGGATTCGATCCTAAATTTGTCAATTTTCTCGGATTTAAGATCCTGACCTTAAATTATGGATCGTGATTGAGATCATTTTTTTAATTCGATCCCGATCCTTTTAAAAATTATTTTTTTACTTAAAAAGCAATAAATAAAATAAAAATTTGAAAATTAAATTAAAATATTATTTAAAAAAATATATCTATCCACATCATATTTTATCAACCACCATTCCACGAGGTTTTATATTTCAACAATTTACCAAATTTTTTGTACGAACAAGTTATATTTATTTATTAATTATATTATAGTATAAATAAATTCTAGGTTTTAATAATGTCCTCCATTATAGATTTAGAAGATGATACATCTACTTCTATTGATGTGACAGCAGATATAAGTGAGAATGAGAATCTTTTACCATTTCATAATATACGTAAGTATTTTACTTGTAAAACGGATGGAAGTAACCATACAATGATCTATGCAAAATGCTCTTTATGCAAAAACAAAATATCTTCTTCAAAGATTAGCACTTCAAACCTAAATAGGCATTTACAAGTAATTATTTTTTTTTAAAATACAATTTTATAATTTGTGAAGATCATAACAATATGCATATAATAAGAATTATTTACAATAATTAATAAAATATTTATTGATGTGTTAATCTTAATTATAATAATTAGGAATTTTAATATTATTATTAGCCCATTCTTAGCATTGATATTAAAGGAAGACTAGTAGTTTTAATGGGAGTTGAAATCAATTTTCAGTATTTAAAACCCTTCAACCTATACTTAACTTTATATATTTGACAAAATTTGCGTAACCCTTTATTCATAAGAAATGCTAAAAAAGCTTCATTTTATTCATATCATAGGAAAATATTTTCTCACAATCTTTTGCCCATATCATCTTGGGCAGCTTTTAATGATAGACAATTTTAACTTGAATTTTTAAGATAACCTATATGACCCTTTTAACCACATGTAAATAATAGAAATTTGGGTTGAACCATTAATTCATAAGTTCTTAAATATCTAAAAAGCCTCAGAATTATTCATATGATAGGAAAATATTTTCTCACAGCTTTTAATAATGGTAGAAGAAAATATTGTAAACTTGAATTTTTAAGATAACCTATTTATGACCCTTTTAACCACTTATAAATAATATTACCTTAATATAATATGTTTAATAAAATTTGTTTTAAACCCTTTATTCATTAGTTCTTAAATGCCAAAAAAGCCTCAGTATATTCATATCATAGGAAAATATATTCTCAAAATCTTTTGCCCCTATCATGGGAAGCTTTTAAAATGGTAGAAAATATTGTAAACTTGGATTTTTAAGATAACCTATATGACCTTTTTAACCCCATATAAATAATATACTTTATCATATATAACAAAATTTGTTTTGAACCCTTTATCATTTTTTTTGTTTATACAAGTTTTACATTCAGTCTATACATTGTTTTATTAACTTATATTTTTAAAAAATTTCCAACTAAAATTTTAAAAATATGATTTAATTCAGGGGAAGTTATTTTCATCCAACTCTGTTACATAATATATTTTTTTTTATAAAGAGAAAGCACAGTGAATTCAAAAATTAGATTGCCAAACACTTAAATGAATTCTCTACACAAACAAATAAATCTCTACAAAAGCAAAGTGTTCCTGGTTGCAGATTCAAACAAACCAAATTAATTTTTTATAATCTTAACATGCCATCAATATCGCGAAAAACAGCAGACAAAGTTATAATGGAGTTTTTTATTGACACATTTCAACCACTTTCAGTGGCTGATGATCCTTCATTCAAGAAAATGATTAAAACATTTTTTCCAACAACAAATGTTATATGTCGTCAAACTCTAGGCAATAAAATATCTACTGCCTTTACAGATATGACAACAAATCTTATAAGAGATTTGTCTGAAGTCTCCTATGTATGCACCACTGCTGATTTTTGGAGTGGTCATCGAAGGTAAATTATATTAATATAAATTTTATAATATTTTATTTTAGGGCTTTTATTGCTGGAGTTACTGTCCATTTGCTGGACCCATTAACTTTCAAGAGAAAATCAGCAGCTTTGGCATTGAGGCGTATAATTGGAAAGCAAACATATCATGTTTTGGCTAAGGAAATTATGGATATCCACAAGACTTATAAAATTCATAATAAGGTGGTGAAGATGGTGACCTATAATGGAACCAACTTTGTAAAAGCATTCAAGTAATATTTATATTTAACAAAAAAATTATTTAAAATAAATTTTTTATTTTTTCTAGAGTATTTGGAGAAAATAAGAATATAGTGAGGATATGGAATTAATAAATTTGGATGACATATTATCTGTTGATGACTCAAATAATCCTACTATCAGCCTACCAAAACATCAACGTTGTTGTTTCCATAATCTGAACCTTATTGCAACTAATGACGCTGAGAAAGCAGAAAATGATATTAATTATAAGAGAATATCAAGAACAACATTTGCTAAATGTTTTGCCTTAATTAACAAACAAAATATGTCCCCCAAAATGGCTGATAATTGCAGAATTGGGAAGATACCTAATAGCTCCAACAAGACCAGATGGAACTCCTATTTTCAGTCAATGAAATTAATAGCCAAGATGCTCTCTGAAAAGTTTTTAGAAGTAGAAGAAGTTTGTGATAAAATTGGATTCACAATGTTTAGGCAAGAAGAATGTTTCTATGTCAAAGAATATGCTTCAGTAATACAATTATATTTTTATAATAACTAAAATTTAAATATTAAAGGTTATGGAACCCTTGGCTATATCATTAAAGATATTGGAACGGGAGGATAACATGGAGCAGGGATATCTAACCCCAGTTCTAACCATACTTATAGATAAATTAAAGAAATTTAGCTGCCTGCGATATTGTCAGCCCCTTGTAGAGTGTGTTCTTAGAGGTATTGATAAAAGGTAATAAATTTTTATGCAATTTTTTTATATTAATAGATATCAGATACCTTCAAAATTTATTAAAAAATTGCCATGATCTGGCAAATTTAGTAAAATATTTTTAACAGGCCTGGTCTACTAAGCCTCTGATATCTGGTAAAATTTTAATGGGTCATCATAGGCATTAAAAATTATTAAATTTAATCAATATTATACAGATGATTGGTCAGACCTGACTGTAAAATTTAAAAGGGCTAACTTTTGCAGATACCTGATTTATATGAATGAACACTTATTTAATAATAAATTAATTATCATTTATTAATATAGATTCCCTTCACTATATGATGAGAATAATATATTGGCATCAATAATTCACCCAAAGTTTAGGCTCAATCGGCCTTTTATTAATCTGCCACAAAATTTGTTGCTAAAAGAAGGTTAATTGCCCATTTAGAAAATATACAGGGTCAACCACATGCAGATCCTTCAAATGAGTGCATGGATGAAATCGATACCTTTTTGGGGAAAAATTTGTCACAAAATGCTTTTTCCATTAATAATTTTTTTTATTCTAATGATGATTCTGTGAATATTTTTAATAATTATGTTAATTTAAAAAAAACATTTATTGAATATAACACACATTTACCATTTAGAAAAATTTTAATTATTAAAGGCTAATTTTAATTATAAATAGACATGTACGCCGCCGTCAAATACGCCGCCGCCGGTGATTTTCCACACCGACGCCGCCAATGCAAAAAATCGGTGGCGTGGCGGCGTGATACATATTTTTTATTATTAAAATAATATTTTTTATATATATTGCTGAAACTTTATCAGCAATATAAGATTTGCATGAATTGTAACTATAAGAAAAATAATATTAAATCATTTTTGAATCATTAATAAATGCGATTTTATTTCTTTAAATTAATAAATATTATTTGCTATAAAAACATTTGATTTGTAACAATCCACATAATACACGTTCGCTCACTTTGAGCAGGTCTGTGACCAACGTGCTAGATAATATAAAATTAGGCTAGTAATTTACAGAAAAGGTATTGAAATATTATTATATATTTCATTCTTATTACTATAAGTCCAATATGTGGACCGACAAATATAGACGGCGAAATTATATTACCTTTACATTTCACTAAATAGATAATAATTTTAATATTGTATTTTATACATTGGCGACACATCATGTCACTCAAAAACATACCACTGAAACTATTCTTTCCGAGATAAAAAAATTTGAAATTGAATTTGATTTAGCGTCCAAGAAAATTCAAATGGTTACGGACAGGGATCCAAACCGAAACGAATATCGGTTCAGGTTCGGATAAAAATAACGGTTCAAGGTTCAGGTTCGGTTCTTAAAAAATAACGGTTCGGTTCGAACCTCTATAAACCGGTTTGAACATTTTTGTATTCAAACCTACATTCGAATTATGTATAGGAAAAATATTTTTTTTTATCATTAAAATAAAAAAACACTTACATAAAACCTTCATTTTTATTAATTGCATAATATAAAATAATATTTAATTTATAAATATAACAAATAGATATCAATGATTAATTTTATAATATGAACAATATTTATAACTTTATTTATTTAAAAAAAATTTATTAAGCCGTACAATTAATATATTTTCAAGATTTATCACACTCAAATTACATCTATAAGGGGATAGTATAAATTTAATTGTAGAAAAACATCTTTCTACACTAACTTGGGTAGCTGGCACTGCCAGTGATATCAGACAATTTATATAATTCAGGGTATCGATTACTCTGATTTCTCCAATAGTCTAAAATATTCATATTTTTATTTAACCTAGGTTCTTTAGAAAAATTAACTAAAATATTTTTAATATTCTCCGATTTTTGTAAGAGATTTTGTTTGTTCACATCTTTTTTTTAAGAAGACTTTCTACTAAGTCCTCTTCAGATGAAGATCCATTAACCGGTGTTGATTCACCTTCACTAAAATCCTCCACTTTTATAACAAAGTTCGATTCCATGTTATGCCATATTTTAATAATATGCTCTCTAGCTTTGGTTTTTTCTTCTTCAGTCAAAAGCACTTGATATCTATATAATAAAAATTAAAAATATCATTAAAAAAATCTTATTATATTTATGTATAGATAGAAAAATATATAAAGTGAAATAAAATTATTAATTAAAATAAATAAAATTATTGATTAAATTTATATAAGATATAATATTTTTAAAACATACCTTAAATCTAGATATGTGCATGACAAAAAGGCATTGTTGTTTAAAAGTTGCTTCTCTCTAAAATTCATAGCATCAATTATTGAACCAGCAAAGGGTGAAGTAAAAATGGAAATTTCTAATTTAGCTTTCAGCCATATGCCATAAAAATCCCCTAAAGTTAGCTGCTCAAGTTGTAAGTTCTTGGTAGCTACTTTCATTGGTTTTAGTATATTTACCAACCCTATAATTGCTTCCCATTCCAGAGTTTGCAAAACAAAGTTCACTATATGATACTGATAACTCCTCACAAATATCTTTTAATTCATTCAATCTCTCTAGCATGTCATAGGTTGATAACCATCTGTGACAATCCAATATACGTCTTTTTAAGTTTAATTTTTTTAGTATGATTGATATCGATTTTGTCCTTAGCTTCTTGCAGGCAGTACGAGCTTTGATAATAATATTAGAAATGGAGTAATTTTTTAATGCATGAGCTACCACAAGTTGTAAGGTATGAGAAGCACATCTTATATTTATAATATCATATTGAGAATCATTAAGATTGCTTGCTAATTCATCAGGTACATTTGTGAAACTAGTATAAATATCATAATTATCTATATTTTGTATTTGTTCTTCTTCATCATTTTCAGGCAATTGATTGTCATCATCACTATCCTCCCTAAATAATTTTACCATCTTAATTAGATTTGCCTTATTGTCCGTTGTTATAGTGTACGGTTGTGATGTTTTTATTTCATAATCATTTAATACTTTTATTAAAAGGAGTTTTAAATTTTCTGCAGTGGGCCGTTCAAAAATTTCTTTCATTGCCAGTGTTCTCAGAATTTTTGCTTTTTGAATGTACTGAAGATTAATCCAAATAATGGACCTGTCTAGCCGAGAACAAAGTCAATTTTTAGAGATAATAATTTACCATTTATTCCTTTGATTATATTTTGCCGAATATCTAAGGCTAATTCTGCAACATTCGATTGAATATTTTGGGAATTAATTTTAATATTACCTAAACCTTCTAATATAGGATCCAGAATTTTTCTAAAGCCACTATCATCGATTAATGTGAATGGTCTACCATTAAAAGTTACCAGCTCAGTACAAGCATCAATTATTATTTTTTTTATTTAGCTTCACTGATATAGTAGTTTGTTCTTTAAATACTTCTTCTATGTCTGTTGGTTTGATGGCATCTTAAACCTTTTTATTTTATTAGGAATTTGTTGTTGTTATATTTTAATTTTATTGAATTCTATAGGGTGGTTTCTTTTTATGTGACGCTCCAAATTTGCGCCATGATTACCTTTCATATTTATTTAACAATCAGCAATATTACATTTTGATGTGTCATTAATAATATTATAAGTAAAATAATTGTATATGGGGTTTAATTTTGCTCTAGGCATTATAATTTAAAAGCTTAAAAAATTTAAAAAATATTGTATAATGGCAATATACTAAAGTTCATAAAAATTATGACTGACACTTATCAATCAAATGTGATTGATAAAAATCTTTAAAACAATTCGAATATAATTAAAATATTTTGCAATATACTAGAACTTACACATTATTTTAGCAGCATAAAATCACGAGGTTCGAACCGGTTCAGAGGCATTTTAGCGGTTCGGTTCAGGTTCGGCTAGAAATTTTTTAGCGGTTTAGGTTCGGTTCAGGTTTGAAAAAATACCGGTTTTTAGCGGTTTAACGGTTCAGGTTCGGTTTGGATCCCTTGTTACGGATGCAGGACCCAATGTAAAGAAAAGTGTTTGTCTAGGAGAATATGACCATCATTTATATTTGGGGATGGATTACATAATCTAGTGACAGTCGATGGAATAAAAAATGTTAAAAAAATAGAAAATCTCATTAAAAAAGTGAGAGAAATTATAGTTCCCTTAAGATTCAAAACAGCGGATTTTGAAAATATAAACGATATCGAAAATGGGAAATGTTTCGAATCAATATCATTTACATCGGAGAGTATAGATTTGGATGATAATGATCCTTTTTATGAAGATCATTTGAGGTTTGATGATGATAGTGAAATCAAGAAAAAACATAAAACCTTAAAATTAAATGTGCCTACACTTTGGCATAATATTATAATATTGCTGGAAAGTGTGAGTGGCAATAACAAAAATCCTATAAATATTCTATTAAATAGAATGGATAAACCGGATCTTAATTTATTTAACTCCGATTGGGACTTGGGCATGAACTTTTAAATTTTCTTAAAACCTTCAAAAACTGTTGAATTTCTATCAGTCCAAAAAGGAGTTACTATAAATTTACCTTTATTATTTCGTAGTGAAACCCATTAATGGTCAAGATTTTTCTAGTGGATAAAAATGCTCAATTTTTTCAAATTATATTGATTAATGCTCATAGATCAACTCCACCCATGTGTTTGTTATAAGCAGTTACCATATTTGGCTGAGGAATTTTTATTTTAGAAGATATTTTCTTAGAATACCTTGAAACATTAGAAAGCAAAGAGATCGTGTGGCATGTCTATGCAACGGTCACCACCAAATTATCATTCCAACGAACTACAAATATTTCGTATAATTTTTCAAACCTATAATCATATTATCCTCTTTCTTTTTTTTGCTACAACCTTTATAGATTCAACTGGGCAATGCTCTATTCTATTGTCCTTCACAGTTCCAGTTGGAAAATATCCCATTTGTTTTAAGTATGACAAGAGTTTAAATGATGAAAAGAAATTATCAAAATATATTTTATGATAATTTGGTTTTTGCAATGCCTTTAATAATTTTATGATTACATTTCCATCTAATTCATATTTATTTTCGCTTTTTCCTTGATATATATCAAATGAGAATACGTAACCGTCGGAAGAAGCAAATATCCAAGACTTGTATCCGAATCTAATTGGTTTTCTATTTATGAACATTTTGCAAGAATGTCTTCCTCGATATGGTATCATCTGTTCATCTATTGATAAATGATGTTTGAAAATTCCGAATTGCTGAAATTTATTATTCAATATATTAATAATGTAAGGCCTAACTTTATAAAATCTATCATGTATATCTATTTTTGTATTGTCTGCCAAATGGATATTATATTTCAAGTTTCGAAATTGTAATTGGGTCATTGTATCCCAGATTATTGGAATAGAAATATCGCTATCATTAGACCAGTACATTCTTTCTTGTG